TGTTAAGATTATAGTGAAAAATGTACAATAGATCCAAAAACAAATCTAGGATGTGTTGACATGATTTGTGAAAATATCTAAAATCAGGAATTATGTATAACTGATTTAAATGATAATAAATGTTTTTATATGGAGAAATGTTCAAGTAAAGAATGCAGTTTAGCAAAGTTGACTACTGCTTTAGAATGTAATAAGTATCTAAATGAATGTACTTTAAACGATGAAGGAAATGGATGTATATTATTACCTTTGACTTGTAGAGGGAATAGTAAAAAAGATAATTGTTATTTAAAAATAGATGGAGAATGTGGATGGGATAGTTAAAGAAATGTTTGTATAGATAGATAATGTTTTACAGCAGATTCAAGTTATGATACAAATGAATTATGTGATTCATATTTAAAAGGATGTGTAGTAAGCAATACTATAGGTTGTATGGAATTACCAAAATTATGTGAGGATAGAAAAAAAGAATTAAATTGTCATTTTGAAGATGATGATTGTGTATGGGGATTAAATGAATGCTAACCAAGATCATGTTATACAGCTTAATTTGAATTAGATTCTATAAATATGACTGAATGCAATTCATATATTGAATGTTCAGAAGATATTACTTAATGTTGTATTTTAAATAATAATAATACTAATTGTTAAGAAAAGAGTACATGTGATGTATTGAATAAATCAAATTGTGTATCTAATGCAGCAATAGAAGGTACATGTTTTTGGAATGGAGTTGAATGTATCAATCCAGATAATATAGAATGTACTGATTATATTGGATAAAATCATTAATAATGTTAAGATCTGAAAGATACATGTACTGTAAATATAAATCAAAATGGTTGCATAGATCTAATGGAATGTGAGGATTATGTTAATTCATTATAGTGTGTATTAAATTTGAGAAAATAAAAATGTTTATGGAATGCTTCAACCAATTCTTGTTTATCTTATAGTTGTTCTGATGCTCCAGATTCACTTTTATATTAAACTGATGAATAATGTAGGATATTCTAAAGTGATTGTACTGTTTATCATGATATTGGAGGATGTGTAGATTAATATAGTACTTGTGAAGAATATCTAAAGAAGGAGAGTTGTTATAAAACTATTACTTCTACTAAGATTAATTGTTTTTGGTATAATGATTCATGCAGAACTGTCAAATCATGTGCTGATATAACTTTTCTATAAACATATACTACAAGTTCTTGTGAATCTTTTCTATTTGAATGTAAGGTTAATACAACAAATAATGGATGTATTCCTAAAATTTGTACTGACTATAATTACACTACTCTTGAATAATGTTTAAGTCTTGATTCATGTTCTATTAATACAACTCAGACTTCATGTATTCCCATTTCAGATTTTTGTTATTAATACTTTGAAACTGAAAATAATTGTTATTATTCTAAAAATGAAGGATTTTGTATTAAATATAAAAATTTGTAATAACAATTTTAATGTAGAAAACAATATGAGGATTGCACATCAATGTCAGGAACTGATATTACATGTCCTTCATTTAGAGAAGCATGTATAAAAAATCCAAACAGTGATAATTGCATGAAAAAGGAATGTTTTACTAAAACATAACCTAAAGCAACTTTAGCTGATTGTTAAAATTTTGATCTTGGTTGTACTTCATAAATTGATTTAGAATAATGCACAGATATAAAAGGATCCTGCTAAGAATACTAAGATATTAATTATTGTCATTATTCTAGATCAAGTTATTGTATAATATAGGATAATAATGGATAATTTATTTGTAGGGATTTATTTGAAATTGAGTCTTGCAGTTAAATAAAATTTTAATATGATTCAACTTGTGAGATTTTAAATAAAGAATGCACGAATAATCCAGATAAAACAAGTTCACAACAATGCATTGATAAGACATGTAGTAATGCTATTAAGTCTGAATATAATCATTAAATTTGTCAGAAATGGAAGTCAAGTTGCACATCCAATTATGATGGAACAGGATGTATAGAAATTAAAGATAAATGTTCAGATTACACTACTTAAAATAGTTGTTCATAATCTAAATCAGGTAAATGTGAATTTAAAAATAATATATGTGTTCCTAGGAAATGTGAATATGCACCTTCAACATTTTTGAATAATTAAGTATGTGAATCTTATTTAAATACTTGTACAGTTGATAAACTAGGAGGTTGTGAGAAAAGAAAAAATACTTGTAATCTTTATGAACTTTAAAAATAATGTTATTTTGATATCAATAATAATAGATGTTGGTGGAATCCTACAGATAAGAAATGTGTAGAACTCAAATGTTCAAATATTGAAAAAACATCATTGTACTCTACTAATGAATAATGCAAATCTATTTAATACATTAATTGTATATTAGATAATACTGGTATAGGTTGTTAAGATAATCAATAATAATGTGAATCATTTACATCATAATAATCATGTATTATTGATATTAAAGGATAATAATGTTAATGGAATGTTGATAAATGTTATACTAAAACATGCACTACTGCTCCAACTTCTCTAACAACTTTATAATAATGTTTAACCTATTATACAAAGATTAAATGCACAACTAAAAGTGGTGGTGGTTGTACATTTTAATTAGATCTTTGTGAAAATTATACTGATTAAGGATCGTGCATTATTACCAAAAAGGGGATGGCATGTGGATATGATTAAAGAGATAAGAAATGCAAAGTCAAAAGTTGTTTAACAGCACCTTTATCATATAAAACACATAGTTAATGTAATAATTATCTGAACACATGTACAGTATTAACTACTGGAACTGGATGTTAAATAATTCCAGAAACTTGTGAAGAAATGACAATGATACAATGTGAAGTTAGTGAATGTATTTATGATAATGATCAAAATAAATGTATTACTAAAACATGTTAGAATATACCTGATAGTATTAGTGATTGTACATAATATTTAGATTCATGTTATAATGATACTATTAAATGTAAAACAGCAATATGTGAATATTATTATTATTCAACTGATGAAGAATGCAGAAATATTATGTCTCATTGTACCAGTGATGGAACTTAATGTATCCCCAGAAGAAAATGTAATCAAGCATTCAATGAAGCTAGTTGTGTCTCTTAATCAGATGGTCAATTATGTTAATGGACAGCAAATAAATAATGCTAAGTAAGATCATGTAATGTAGCTCCCAAAACCTTAACAACTCATTCCTAATGTTAATAATATCTTAATAAATGTACAACTCAATAAAATGGAGGATGTATTAATTTGAAGTAATGCATTAAATATAGTATCTAAGAATAATGTCAATTTGATTCATCATTAATATCATGTGTTTGGGATACAACTATAAATTAGTGTAGAAATCAAGAATGTTTGGATTATAATGGTTCAAATCATAATTCTTGTTAAGCTATTTCGAAAGAATGTACAGCTGACTATATAAGAAGGGGTTTTTGCATGGATCTTATGAATTGTTCTGAATATACTTAGAAATTGCATTGTATAATTGGAATTGATGGAAGTTGCTTATGGATAAATAATTAATGTTATTAATATTCATAATGTGAAGATATCAAATTCTAAACTCATGAAGAATGTTAAAAAGTCTCAAAAGAATGTACAACTGATGGAGTATAATGTGTTCCAATTACATTCTGTAAAGATACCAATACTAATGGAGGATGTTATGTAGGTATAGATGGAGAATGTATTTAGATTGTTGAAAATGGTATAAATATTTGTACTTAATTTGAATCTTGTAAATAGATAGCATTCCCTTCTCATTCTTAATGTTAAACAGCTAAAAATAAATGTACTACTGATGGTGAGAAATGTATTTCCCTTAATGATTGTAATAAATACACATTTGAGATATCTTGTGTCATTAATAGTGGTGGTAGAATAATATAAGATGAAAGAGTAATTTCAACCGGATAATGTGTTTGGGATGTCTCAGCAAATCAATGCAGAAATCAAGTTTGTAATGATTTAACTGGTACAACCAATGAAGAATGCGAATCATAACTCTATTCATGTACTAGTAATGGTGAAAAATGTATTTCCGAACTTAATTGTTCCAGTTTAACAGATTAAGCCTAATGCAAGATTGCTAAAAGTGATGAAGGATAATGTTTTTGGATCAATAATAAATGTGAAGTTATTGGATGTGCTAGTATTACTAATTCCAATTCTGTTGAACAATGCAAATAATCAAATAGTAAATGCACTTATGATGGAAAATTATGCGTTGCTATATCATAATGTAAGGATTATAAAACACAAACTTCATGTAATTCTAAAGGAATTGATGGGTTTTGTTCTTGGACTTCTACTGCTTCATCTAATATAACCACAACAACATAACGTAATAAATGTGAACTAATGAAATCATGTGAACAATCTGATTAGGATTAAAACTCCTGTTTGTAAGTTAAAGATTTGTGTTACTTTAAGATGGCTACTAATACATCTTCTAGTAAATGTTTAGAACATACATGTTAAACTTATTATGAATAAAATAAAATATGTTCATTCTTTTATAATTGGGATAAGACAGTAATAACATTTTGTAAAATTTAAAATAAAACATGTGATCAAATAGATAATCCAACAAACTTAGATGAAAAAGAATGTTATTTGCTGTCAGGTTATACTTATACATTTAATAATAAAGCTGCAAAATGCTAATCTTGCCAACCACCTTAATAAAATATCACTAACACCACTTCCAGTAAAATTCTAATTATCTTTTTGATTGTGCAAATAATTTTATTTATTTGAGACTTATTCATGAATAAACAATGAATTTAATTTTTAAGTCTTTTAAATATTTTTAATTTAAAATAACTAAATTTATATTCATATAAAATTATTATTGAAGAACTTAAACTTTTTAAATATAAAAATCTATATAAATTATACTAAATTTAAAGTTTCTATAATGTAGAATAAATATTGAATGAATAATTAATTATAATTAAGCTAATCATTATACTATTTCTACATTTCTTTATTATAATTATTTGTTTGTTAAAGCTTTTATCTCAATAGATTTTTCATACTTCATATCAGGAATGGCTTCTCTAGTTTTTTCAATAAACTTAATATCATGATTTCTTAAATTAGGTAATTCCTTTTGTAATTCATTTTTATATGCACTATATTTTTAGTAATATTGTAAAAAGCATTCTTTCATTGCCTTTAGATCTCCAGCTGTAGCCTTTGAATAATTAGAATAATTTATACTTATGTAAGATCCTCTACAATATATGGGAAAGGATTGCTCAAGTAAGGTTCTGCCCAAGTGTGAGTTTCAAGAAGTACATCTAAAAGTGCCATTTTTTCAATTTAATTTTCATCAGTTTCTCCAGTTCTTCTAGGTGGGATTCGAGTGGCTTCTGTATAATTAATACCATGAGGAGCTTCAACCCAATAATTGTTAATGGGGACTAAGTGTGGAATTCCAACATAAGCATTGATAGTTTCACATCCTTCGAAAGCACTCTTCAACATTCCAGTCATATACAAATCTTTTGGTGTTTAGAAAACATGTGGTAAGAAATCATAAGCAGCTTTTCTTAAGGTGATAGGAATGTCATTCATTTATTTAGTCTTTTGTAGAGTATATTTAAATAGATCTCTAGCTTCTTGGATTTCAAGAGTACCACCTATATTTAATTTATGTAAATGATCAGGCATATCAGCCAATAAAACTTTGTGCTTACCCATAAGGGCTGTGTAAAGTACACGATTAATGAGATAGTATTCTGAATATCTATGGTTGATAATGTGTTCATCAATAGTTTATATGAATAGATTTTTATTGGCTTCTTATATTTCTTTAGATTAGATATTAGCATAGGAATAAGTACTAAGACCTTTAGACCAATCAATTTCATCTAAATTTTTATTGGCATTTAACATGTCTAAGACAACTAAATTGACTATTGCTTCTTCCCATGCATGTGGTTTGAGGGGATCTATCAAAGGAGTGTCATACATTTCATAACCCTCTACATTTTAAAGTGCACATTTATGAGCCAGGAATCTTTGTCTTGCAATATAAGGTGAAGGGTCCAATTATAATACGATTAGATCTGGATGCATTCTAAGTAGAGGAATTGGATATACTATGTATTAAGACTGTTAAAGATATCGTAATTCTAGAATTTGTCTTTGGTTTAACCATAGGGTACTCCAGTCACATAGCAAGTATCAGAACTTTCATGATTATTGGCCAGATATCCTTGATTGGCTGCTTTCAATGGTTTGAGACTGACAGATTTGGGTGTTTTGGCACCATAGGAATCTCTTTGATTGAGAAAGTAGAGCTCAGCAGATAGCTATTCATAGCAATATCTCAATTTCTAATTGAGGGATCTAACAATTTTAATTCTTTATAACATAAATAATGTTAGAACATAAGCGAAATCACTCTTAGAAAATAAGAACTGTATAGATAAGATGTTATGATAAATAAGTGACAATTGATATAGCAATGGACAAGAGTGTAGCTGATCTTCTAAATAAGGTATGAGTATTTGAGAGTTATTTATGTTAGCTTCGTGAACATCCAGCAACGCCAAATTCATAATAGTTAGTTGCTTTGAAAACAGTCTCCAATTCAATTACAATGGATTATATGTTATCTGTACCAGAAGAGAGAGGTAAGTGTTTATATCATTAAAATCAGCTTAACTGCCCGTACATAAGTTAAAATAGGAAGTTTTGATTGGAGTATATAGATAAATTGCTCATAAATAAAATCTCAGTCTTTTAGATTTTACATTTGAACGATGCATTGGGAAGGGAGGTACTTCAGAAGTCTATTTGGTACGTCATTAAGTGTCTGGAAGATTGTTTGCTCTGAAAATGATCAAAAAATAATATATTACTGATTGTAGAAGACTGGAATAAATTCTTAGAGAAAAGAAAATTCTGTCTTAAGTTTTGAATCATTCTAAATTCATCATTCCATTGTATGCAACATTTGCAACTAAAGATCATCTATGTTTTTTAATGGAATACTCTGCTGGAGGTGAAATGTTTTACCATCTTTAAAATTACCGTTTTACAGATGATGAAGCTCGAGCTTACATATGTGAAGTCATTTGTGCTCTTGAAGAACTTCATTAACATCGTGTCTTATATAGAGACTTAAAAGTAATCAATAAATTTCAATATTTAGCCAGAGAATATACTTATAGATCTTAGAGGTCATATTTAACTCACTGATTTTGGTTTATCTAAATTAGATTTGAGTGAAGAACAATTAACCAATAGTTTCTGTGGTTCTCCTGAATATATGCCTCCAGAGATAGTCAATCGATAAGGTTATTCATATCCTGCTGATTTTTATACATTAGGATGCTTATTATATGAATTGTTATTAGGATTGCCACCTCATTATTCTTAAAACACTGAAGAAATTTTCCATAAAATTTAGAATGAAGATATTTCATTCCCTGAAGATTTGAGTACAGATGTTATATCATTGTTGTAAAGTCTTTTGAATAAGAATATAACAGAAAGAATACATGATTTTAATACTTTGAAATAGAATTCTTGGTTTAATAATGTAGATTGGTAAACAATTAAAGAAAAGAAATCCACTTAGATGCCAATATTTATTGATATCTATGAGACTCACATTCATTAAGAATTTTTGAAGATTGATGTAACTGATCTAAATTAAAAGAATGAACATGGTGAATTAAGTAGTTCAGAAGATCTATTTGATTTTTTCAATTATGTTAATGAGACATATAAAGACATATTTTAATTGAAATAAAAGATGAGAGTTCAAAGTGATCATCTCATAGATAAAAAGCTTTTATAAATAAGTTAATCATCTAAAAAAAAGAAAAATCTTTAACTTAATTTGAATGAAATAGAAAAGCAATTTTCAAAAACATAAACTCAAAAATAATCACTTACACCATAAAGTATTATGCCATTGTCTTTATTACGTAAATCATTTTAATAAATGATGAAAGAAAAACCTAGAAAGAGTTAAGATAATCATCCAACTTTGAGTACTATACTATCAGAACGGCCTATAATTGATCGTAATTATGTAATCATATTATATTTAATAATTTTAGATATAGAAGATGTTGTAAACTTTAACAAATAAAAAGAAACCATAAAGTCCTTAACATAATGAATTATCTTGGAGACCACCTCAAATAAAAAGAGGTTCTAGTTCATCAACTCATTTAAAATCATCTATAAGTTAAAGAGGATAGAGTTCAACAAGAAAATAAAAATGATATACTACTTATTTATTTGAAATTTCATTCTACTCTACTTAATTCAGCCTAAGATTGATGATCAAATCCATATTAATCTACAAATACTTCTGGATATATCTTATTATAGAAACGAGGAACAGATAAAATTGTTGGATTGATATCAGGAGATGATGATTCATTATCATCCTTTTCTCTATTAAAAATATCTCTAAAATATCTTACTTTGCAGTCTATTCCAATGGATTTATTTGATATAAATGATCCCTCTTTCTATTTTAATTTCTTACTATTCCCATCAAATACTCTCTAATCATTTTAAATCTCTTTTTAATTCTCTTACGTTATTCAGCTCTATTAGTTAATAGTTTTCTTGTTAACCAATTTTTATTTTACAAATCTGGAAACTTAGCATTTAATTTATTTCTTATCTTATCAAGTGCTTCTTCTTAACCATCTAATTATGCCCACAGAATTTCCCATAGGAGAATTGCAATAAAAACTCCATTAATAATTATTAAAAATATATAAAATGGCCAAATTATTTCCTAATTACCAGATTGATTAGCTGAATATAGAGTCATTCCCAATACAATTGAAGTTCCACAAACTAATGTACTCATATCATCTAAATAATTTAAGTAAGGCAACTTAAATGGTTTATATTTCTTAGTTAACATAGAATATATGAACACAATAATGAAAATTAAAGCAGCCTTGATAATAATTAAATCTTCATAGAATGTCAAAAATAATATGATAAAACTCTTTTAGAATATCTTTACAATTTCCCAAAAATATGCTTTAGGTTGATATTCATTATACAAATAACCCCATTTCTTTCTACTTTCTCCATCATTCAAATCATTTTTAATTTTATACAAACTCAAAAACATATAAGCTGGTATGATTAAACCAAGTGTAAATGCAGAAGGAAATACAAAAGATAAAACCCATTTCAAATGTTAAGCAGTATCATATCTATATGCTACATTACCTTAAACCCAATAGATATTAGATACTTGTCTGAATGATAATAATGATACAAAACCTCCAAGTAAAGTAGGTTATAAAAAAGTAAACAAATAAATAAAAGTAGTTGAAATGGCACTCTTACTAGCATCTGCTAAACGTACAAGTATAGCAATTCCATACAAAATAAAAAATGTTAAAATGTATATGATTGGCATAATTAAAGCCCATATCATTCTAAAATACATTACATTGATATCTGAAATCTTGATCAAAAAACAATCTAATGAATAACTCATAGATTCTACAGGAGACCCAACAGTTTTAAAAGCACTTGTAAGAGCACTTGGCAATGAAAGTTAAAATGTTGCAACAGCTCCAATAATTTAGAGATAATTAGTGAGCACTTTTATAAGGATACCTCCTTAACCAGCCTTAATTTATTCAACAAAATATTTCGAAAACTTTTTACTTAATATCATATTATTAACTGCTTCCATAGTACTCTTTACTGAAAGCATAATAGAAATCAAAGTCCTAAAATAAATAAAATATTGTTACCATGTACTAATAAGAGCAACTTTAAGTGTATTGTCTCCCACATCATCACAACTACCACATTTATATTATGCACTTACTGACCATTATCCATCCCCCATTATATTATAGATATCACATTACTCACATAAAGCACCTATATGTCCTAAGAAACAAGAAGCATCTCCTGGAGTCCAACCTCCTTCACAATTGATTTACATATTTAAACAAAATTCAATTTTAGTACTATATGAATAGGGTCTCCAATATCCTGCTCTAAGTTTGACACTTGCAGAAGTAACTGCTTCAGTTGATATAGTATCCTTTACTTAACAAGTTTCTCCAGCAATGACTGAATATTAATCTTATTGTGAATCACAAACAAGACAAGTTCCATCTTCATCTCTTTTTTATTCTCCAACTTAACAGTCGAATGATTATACATTAACTCTTAATCTGTAATTCTCAATTTGATATTTTAATAAATATGGAGGTTCTGGATTGAAAATGGGTATTCTTATAGAATTACACAAAAATTCTATTTATAATACAGCTTATGAATTTGATTTCGGATCAAAATAAACTATCATTTCATCTAAATTATAATCTTAAGAAGTGGTATTAAAATATACTTCTTGTAAGTTTGTGTATGGAGAGTTTAGAGTGCTAGTAATATTATCCATATTTTGTGGATCGATTTCAGTTAAATTATTAATGTTTATCTTCCTTGAATATATTGAACATTTGCTACCATCTAAATTCTATATTTTATTATCTTATTTATTAAGTGCTATGATTCTAAATGTCAAATTATATGATAAGTATAATTATAAATCTTCATCAAAATATTTATATGTATTAATGGCTTGTCCACTTGGAAGAGTGATAAAATGCTTCTGTTTATTGGATATATTATAAGGTTTTATAGTTATAACATCAATGATTGTTGTTAAGTTTGCAAAGAGTCTTTCTTTTTCTAAATAATTGGTTCCATTATTAATAGACAAAGTCAATTGATTTGGATATTCTGCATAATTTTAACCAAACAATAAAGCTTTATTATTTCTCAATTATAAATTTAGAACACTTGGTGAATTTAGAGTATAATTTTAAAGAAAGAAGGCTCCTCCAATTTTAGCTGAATTACTACTAATATCTGAATCATAGATATTTAATGTAGCTTGTTTAGAAATGAAATAAATAGCTCCTCCTGATTCAGTGGCAGTATTAGATAAAAATTTACAATCATCAAATAGGATATTAATGTCATTTACATGAAAGACTCCTCCATAACTACCAAAGTTATTAGCAAAGGTACTTTTACGTACAGTAACACTATAAATAAGAGAATTTTTGGCAGAATCATCAACTAGTAATCTAAATCGATTTTGGTTGAATTATTATTTCAAAACAATACAACTCATTTGTCCACATTGAGATTACAATAATTCAAATTTCTCAAAAGTAATTATGCTATTACCTAATTTAAAGTAATTCAAAAATTCAAATTATATCAAACCTTCAGTACATTTTTGACATAGTATAGATTAAATTTTTGTATCTTGAATAATAATGGAATGATCCATATCAATATTCATTACTGAAATCAAAGATGTTGGATTGACTTAAGCTAATTGTACATTTTTGAGATTCATATTGGAGTAATAATTGATAATGGTTTGATTCATATCTATACCTATAAATGTAGGTGCTGTTTGAGAATAATCACAAGTTAAAGATAATGCAGTATAAGATACTTCACATTCAGGTACTATATTCTGAATAAAATTGTAGACTGAAATATTTAGAAATTACACATTCTACATTATAATAACAGAAACAGATGACAATGAAATTAATGGTTAGCTTCCTGTAATATAATTACTTACTATAACATTCTTCAATATTAATTCTCCATAAGATATTTCTATTAAACCATTCATATAATCAGTGAAACTTGAATTTTACAAAGTTATTTTCCCTTTTATTGAAAAGATATAATTCAAACGATAATCACTTATTTCTGATTAAGATAATTAATAGAGTTATCCCAAATACTATTGAAATCCTTCAAAAGAATTTATAAGGGTGAGATTCTAAGCTTCTAAATTCAATTGATTTTATCCAAATGTCTTAATGAAGGAATAGTAAATAGAATAAGAATCCCTAATTAATACATCTTTCAGAAACATCTTGTTGTCACTACTTGATGGAATCACATAAATTACACCTCCTTCTCTTCTGCTATAACTATTCAAAAATGTGCAATTCCTTATACTCACTTATATTCGAGAGGAGGCTGCATCAATAAAGATTGTTCCTCCTTAAGCATTAGAAACTTATTCTAAAGATGCTCTACATTCCTTAAATAAAATGTCTTAGAATTCTACCACACCATCAGATTAAGGTTATAAATAAATTGCTCCTCCTAGCAAAGATATTGATCCTATGATATTAACATCTTTAATTAAAGTTGAATTTGCAGATAAATAAGCACTTCCTCCAAATGTCTTGATAGGAAATGCTTAGTAAAATTCTTCTTATTTTGGAATTGCAAAGTTTTCTAGTCCCCAAACAATATTATCTTAAATCACATTAAAATACAATTAATTTGAATATAGAAAACTGCATGTTGTTATAGTAATACTATTACACTTTAATACTAAATTTGAATTCTATCCATTTGTAGCTATATTCTTTTCAAAGTTATTTCTATTCAGTATAACACTTGAATTTGGACTGGAAAATAATAATGTTGAGGAGGATACAAATGATAAATCAGAAATGTAACTATGTTGAAAATTATACAAAAATTTAGAATCCTCTACAATAAAATTTTGATTTTATTCAGAAATTATTGATATTATAGCTTACAATTCACTGATCTTACTAAGAATTAATAGATTCTCGCTAAACATGCTATTTCTTATTCTGATTGACTCCTATTATCTAATTTTTAATCTATCTGATGATTTTATAGAAATCAGAGGTTGATTAATACTTTTGATTTTATGAAGAGTTATATGATTCATATCAATCTCCTTGATGTTGTACATATATAAAATAGTTGTATAAACTTAAGGTATCGCATTGGCTGAAACACAAGATAAACGATTATTCAACAATCTTAGTATATCTGAATTTCTGGTAACTTCCATATTATCTATTTGAACTTTATTACTATTTAATATTGCCATTTCTGGAAAGGTTTTACTTCTTACAATTTTTGTATTTGTAAGAGTCAACTCATAGCTGTCAAAATAAAATGTAGAATTTTCTGATGCTATGTATTTTTATTGTAATTTAGTTAGTGTATATAATTCATTCTAATCAATAAGTAAATCATAAATTGTGATTGCCAATCCAATAAATGTTGTTTAATAGATTTCCATGAATGCTTTATTACCCAAATATTTATTGAATTCAAATTTAATTGTTTGCATATCAATAGTATTACCATCATTTGCATCAGAATATTGAACTGATGCTTTATTAGAAATCAATATTACATCATCTGTAATCAAAATATTGTTTTTTACTTCCAAATTATTTATTGAAAATAATGGTAAAATTAACCATCTACTTTTAATACTCAATTTAGTTTGCTATAAAACCATTTAATTGATATTAACTCTTTTTACTCCTTCAAAACTAGCAAAGGTAGATTCTATTAATTCATCATTTGTTTAAGTAAATTATTTAATATCAACAACAGCCATTCTTACATTCAGAGGGAAATCTGTTCTAAATGCTTATGATCCTAATTTGAATATATTAGATGTAAAAGTTACAGATTGAACTAATATATTGAGATTATTGTAATTTTCAGATAATTTGAATAAAAATATCTTTGAATTACTGAATTAACTATTTTTAATTTCAATATTCTGGAATTATAATTAAACATCATCTTATTTTAGATTACCAAAACATTGTATAATTCCAGTTGAATTGACTATTTTACTATTTTAAATAATAAATTGATTCATAGTAACAGAAGTAGCATTTTCAATCACAATAGAAAATGAAATATCAATAACATTCAAAGTTATACTATTCAATATTAAATCAAATTGTATTGTATCATAAATGTATAGATTTTGATTTTTCAAAGAACTTGCCAAAGTAAAATCCTTTAACAATACTTAATTGAATCCAGTAATAATAAAGTTATCATTAAAAACTACATTTGTTGTACCATAAAATTCAAGATTAATATTTTTTAAAGTGAATACATTCTTTCTTAATTCAGAAACAATTTAAAAATTATCAGGTAATTTGCATTATAAATTAGGATTATCATTAACTATTCTCATCTTAATAGTCATTTCTTTAATAACTTTCTAATTAAATACTATAGTATGACTATCAGATTCATAAATTGGTGATTTGAATTCAGTCAAATCTTAATCATAACCATTTAAAATGGTTGAGGCCTTTTTATTGCAATAATACTTTAAATCTATTAATGCCTTTTATTTACAGGTAGATGCACTAGAACATTCAACAAAATTATCCAAATCAAAATCATAATTCAAATGAATACTAGGTATAGTATAACTTTTGAGACAAATATGACTGAATTTAATGAAATCAGTTTTTGTTGGATCAAAATATGGATTAACTGTTGCTAGAGATTCCTTATCCCTTTATTTACATAATGCACAATTGTATGGACATTCAATACATTCTCCATTACTCAAACTTAACTTTTAACCATTTGTATTTTCTGTACATTATATACAAATGGCTTATTAATTAATAATTTGACATACTTTACAATTAGAATCACAAGATTTAATACATTTTCCATTATAATAATCATATCCCTTCAAACAATTAGTGCATTTAATATCTCCATCGCTTGTCTTTAATACTATATCTAAAAAGTCACCACCATATAAAGTATTATAGAATGATTTAATATCTACCTTCCAAGAATCTTAATAGAATCTATCTTCTAATAAACAACTCTTGCAATTTCGATCAACATCACATTCAGAAATAGTGTCTGTTGAATTGGTTAATTCATATGATCCTTAAGGGATACTAGTTGCACTTAAAAGAACATTTTAGCCATTTAATTCTAGATATCTTGATGATACAGGTAAATTAAGATCAATTACACAAGAAGTTTATTTATTGATTGTTTATGTAGAACATAATGCACATTTAACAATAACATCTTCTTTCTTTTATACAATAGGATAATCTTTGAGTAAAGAAATAGCTGAAGAATTAGTAACACTTTCTTCATATGCAATTTAACAATTAGCAATTGTATTTTCATAACAATTTTAACCATCTAATGAGATATAATATTATTTATAATCCACACATTTAAAACATCTTTATTAATCACATATTAAACAATTCCAACCACACTAAATGCATTTACCTTCATATAAATAAAATCCAATTGGACAACTAATACATTTAGGTACATCTCCAATGAATGTACATTCTGTACAAATTTCAGGACACTTACCACAAAATTAATTATTAATCAATATAAAACCATCTTAACAATTTTTACATATATATTGTGAATCACATAAATCACAATTTTCATTTTAATCTACACATTAATTATTTACAGCTTTACTGCAACTCTTACATTAAATAGATGATCTAACTCCTAAATGAAATTAAGTTATTAATTTATTAGGATCAATTTATGAAGTATCTGTGACTATTTTTAAACATTAAGGACATAATTCAAGAGTCAAATCATTTGAAATAGTAAATAATTAATAATTACTTTCCATTCTTTCAATTAATTTAAAGGCATTATTTGAATTAGAATTGTATGCCTAATAATCAAATGTACAAATAGGATTTAAATACCAAATTTAACTATTTATATAGCAATCTCCACATTAAATTTATACATCACTCATTGGTGATGGACAACTTAGACATTATTAAATATTTCCATTCTTAATTAAAAATTATCCCTATTAACATTTATTGATTTGATTTTCTTCTAAAAAGATATTCGAACCTATTCTATCAGTAAAACCTTATTTATATAGATAAATCAATACTTTAACATATAACTAAACTTGTATCAATATTCTCAACATAATTTCTTTTACATTAACATTAATTATTTGTTATTACTCTAAATTGACTATCTTGACAAGATGTACATTAATTCACTTCTGGACCAATACATTCTTTACAAAGTATATTGCAATCTAAATATTAAATTTAATTATCATACTTTTCACCATTGTAAATGTATTGCCAAAACAATATTCTAGTTTCAAAAATGCCATTTATCCTCTCATTAAGGCATCAGCATATTTATCTCTACCTGCCATCAACACTAATAATTGAGTTGCAAAATGATTCTTCTTTTCAACATAATAATCTGTAATCTCAAAGTCCTTAAATTAGAAATAGATCTTCGTATTACTATATCCTGTTTCAGCTTCAACATAAGATCCATGTTAAAATGAAAAGTAATGCCATTAAGTAATTTGATCTTCATATTTAAGACCTTTGACACTCCATTTATCATCTTCTTTAGTTTTATAAAAAGTCAATTGTGCATATGTATATGAGAAAGTATGAACTGATATATTTGTGTTCTCAGGATACTCATAATCTTATTAATAATTTAACCATAATTATCTATCTCCTTACAAATAATCATCTGCATAAAAATCAAATAATGCTAATCGTAAAGCAGTATATGAAGATATTTTAGTAATCAAATTCACTTAATCCAATTTAATCCATGATGAAACAGCATAATTACCTTCAGCATAGAATAAATTCTCCATTTTTGCTCCCAACTTATTAAAATTATAAATATAATCAAACATATAATGTATCTAATTTCCAATTGAACATGCATCAGGAAAACTACATGACACACTCAAAGCTGCATCAAATTCAGCTATACCTTCATAATATTCATCCTTAAATAGAATTTCACTTTTTTCACCAAAATATATATATCCTGGTGAATGGTCTGGAACTATAGTTGTAAACCCAGCAGAAAATCCAGATTTCCTTCTATTTTTCTTATCAATTTCAATTCCAGAGGTAACATATGTCTAATCATAATTACTATCTATTAGCAATTTATAATAAAATCTAAAGTCTCCAGTGTCTATTTTTTAACAATAATAAAGATAAGCCCATCTTCCTTCTAACATAACATTATCCAAACTAAATTGGTTTAAGAAAGAATATTCCCCAAATTATTCTAGAACTATATAGAATTCTTATGCATCAAGTGCATTAATCATATAAATCTTGGTGTACATATTTTTTCTTAGAGTATCAAATTCATAGATCAATTATAAAAAAGGCAAAGAAGTTTTTTTAAGTTCTGTTGTATTTAACATAGGCATCCATCTATGCCACATTCCATAACCTATGATATTCTTGTCTGTGTAATCCCTAATGACCATGTCATCTAATAATCTATTCACCGGAGATGACACAGTATCAAAATTAAAACAAGGAGCTGCTTAAATACAACATCTAATTTTATTAAAATCAGTACCCTAGAAAAGCACTAATCAGGAAAACGATCATTTGATAATAATAATAATAATTATATTTTTCATTTAATTTACTCAACTACATAATAATTTGACCCAAAATAATAATAAAAAAATGAATAAACCATTTAAAAATTAGATGATTAATCAAAAATAATATTAAATTTCTATTTTTTGACAAAGATTAAAGATTGTTTAATATACATTTCTAAAAATAAAAAATTCGTTTATAATTTTCAATTATTCTATAATTTTAATGAAACAATACTATATTTATATTCATTTTAATTAGATATATTGTTTGAATATATATATATATATAATATAATTAAAGTTCTATTTTTTCTAAATTGATTCTAAAAAGTATAACTTTTATTTGAATACTTTTTTTATTATTTTGGATAGGTAATCATTAGAAAATTAGTGTAATAAAAGATGTTCCTATTATTAATCAATTTTATAATTATACATAAAATAAGACATATGGATCAAAATCATCTGAAATTAAATTTTAGTCAATTCATCGTTGAGAAACAAAATTCATATACAGACGATTATAAACTTGGAGTATACATTATTTATATTGTTTAGGGAGTATTGGGAGTTGGTGCATTTTCATAAGTACGAAAAGTGACACATAGAAAAACTAGAGCAATAAGAGCAATGAAAGTTTGAGAAATGTTTATCATTTATAATAGGTCATTAGTAAATCAAGACTATCTACTACTGAATTGTAATAAAAGTTTATTAATGAAATAAATGTGTACAAATAATTAGATCATCCTCATATACTTAAATTATATGAGTTCTATTAAGATGAAAAAAATTATTACATTATTATAGAATTATGCACAGGGTACATATTGAAATGGAATTTAGTGGAGAATTGTTTGATAAAATAATTGAAAAAGGCAGTTTTTCAGAAAAAGAAGCATCTTATGTTATGAAGTAGATTATGTCTGCAATATTGTATGCACACAATCAAAGCATTGTTCATAGAGATTTAAAACCAGAAAATGTTTTGCTTGATATAACTAGTCAAGGCAATTATAACGTAAAGGTAGTGGATTGGGGAACAGCAAAAATATTTTCACCTAATCAATAAATAAATGAAAAATTTGGAACTTTGTATTACATGGCACCAGAAGTATTGAAACGAAATTATAATGAAAAATGCGATATTTGGTCTTGTGGTGTTATTTTATATATTTTATTATCTGGAATGCCTCCATTTAATGGAAAAACTGATGCTGAGATACAAAAGAACATTTTAAATGGCAAATATAAATTAGAAGTATGATTATATTAATCATTTTTTAAGGGTGAAGTTTGGAATTCTGCAAGTGCTCATGCTAAGGATCTAGTTACAAAAATGCTTTAATATGATGTATAAAAGAGATTAAGTGCTAAATAAGTATTGGAACATCCCTGGTTTTTGTAATAACATTAAGAAAAAGTCGATAAATAAGTAGTTTAAGGGAGATTGAAGAATTTGATGAATTTTAGAGCTGAATAAAAATTATAATAAGCAACTTTAATGTTTATTGGAACTACAATGATATCAAAAGAAGAGAAAAATTAATTAGTAGTTATTTAATTATCGATAAGATGTAAGCTTTTAAAGAGATGGATTAGAATGGAGATGGGATCCTTACAAAAGAAGAGATCCTCGAAACATATAAAAAGTATATGGATGATGAAACTGCTTTACAGGAAGTTTAAAAGATAATGGATTTAGTGGACATGGATGGATCAGGTACTATAGATTATACTGAATTCATTATTGCTTCTATGGATCGAAGAAAAGCAGTGTAAAAGGAGAAATTGAAAGAAGTAATAAAAATCTAAGATTACAAAGGCATTTTAAATATTCGATAAAGATGGAAATGGATATATCTCGGAATCCGAAATTAAAGAAGTATTGGGACCATCATTAACAGGAATTGATGAGAAATATTGGTTAGATATGATAAGAGAAATTGATAAAAATGGTGATGGATAAATAAGTTATGATGAATTCTGTGAAATGATGATGAAAATCATTTAATGAAATATATATCTAGACTAATTTCATCTATATAAATAATGTACTAGCATTATCTTAAAAATATCATCGATATATGATATTGCTTAGAACCATTCCTTATTTATTTTCATAATATTATTAATTTATATTCAAGTACATTCACATATAATGATGTGAATATGTTTCGATTGAATTATTAAAATTCTCAAACAATAATCTATGTTAAACTTTTTTATGTTAAGTTCTAAGATTTTTCAAGATATTTTAACCTATTTTACTTTATCTTCAATTAATGGTATTTATCTATTTTATCTAGATTGGCTTCCCTTAAGAATAAAGTTCTAATTTTTCGTTTTATAGAAATGTATATTATCTTAAATGATTTAATAAACTGAAAAATTAATAGTCTTTAATAAGTATGTATAAGCTTTCTTCCTCAAATTTGAAATGCACTTTTGAACTTATTTCCAATACTCAATTGTTTTGAAATTTATCAATGTCTATATCTAGAATTTAGGTTAGAGTTGAACATGACTATTAAGTAATCTTTTAGTAAATTACCTCAACATTTTACAAAACACAATTTTTTTATAATTTTATTCTCTTTTTTAATGTAAAAAAATAAAATGAGATTTAAAAATATATAAATTAAATAACATTTTACACTTTATAATATACTTAATAATTATATAAAATGTAAAATATTGAAATATTCATGATATAAATAAATATTTAATTTCTAATTATGAATAATTGAAATGAAAATAGAACATAGTTAAAATATGAAAAATTTATATTTATGATTTAATTCATTGTTAATGCATTTCTTTCCAAAATTACATTACTTTTCCAGACATAATCTAATCAACCAAGTTTATAAACTCTTATTCTGGACTATTAGCTGGAAATTTATAATTTTCAACTCCTTAAAATAAATTTTATTTGTTTGGAGCATATAATTAAGTAGAGAAATCTGGTAATAATAAATTCAAATGTTTGCAATCTTCTGATGTAAATTTTGGAATTGCTGGGGGAAATACCTATATAATTATTAGATTAATTAGTTTACTTTTAATTTGTCTAAATTTTCCTTTTATTTTTTATGGTAATTTTTAAGGAAAATAGCTGCCATTTTCTTAAAACTCTCTTTATCTCCTCCAGTTTATAGATATGTTTAATAAAGCATTTAACCAACATGAGTTTAAAATTCCATTTTAGATCCTACTAGAGTATTTTATGTTTATTAATTTGGTGTATCATTTGCAAGTTAATCAGCTTCATTTACTTTTTTTTATTTCTCTTTTTATTATCTTTATTTTCTTTCTTCTTCTTCTCTTTATAATTATTATCTTTTATGTAAAGCTAATTGCATCTTTTTCTTAAAACTGAAATAAGTTATATCTTATTCTTCTTCTAATTTCTATTCCTCATTCTCGTTTCTGTTAGGATTCTCTGATTATGATCTTGGTTATTATTTGGTATCTTATTTAACTTAGACTTGATCTTCTTGTTTCTATTATTGTTATTAAGTTTCTCGTTACAAAATTTCCAAATAATCTACCTTGTCAACCTTTTATTTGAAGATATTAAGTCTATGATTAATAGTTTCTAATGTAGGTAGAGTTTGACCACCTTGGCTGTTTCTTATAACATCTTTTCCTAACAATTTCCAACCATGTACAAATTATTGTTACTCTGATTTAGAAATTAAAGTTTGTCTATATATTAATTAATTCATTTTACTTATGTTTATTTTATTCAGTTTTTTCAGCATTCTCTTCTTTTTCTTCTTATTCAAATTTGATGGCTTCTTATAATCCTGGATTTTCTGTGAAAAATTATGCCATTTGTTCTTTAAGATGGAAAATAGTATTTGTATCTGTCTCTGCTTCTTCTTCTTCAATGCTGGAATTGAATGAATTATCACTATTCATAGAATCATCAGAAGAGAAAACTATGGCTTCTTTCTGTATTTATATTTAAGATGCTCTTTTCATAAATATTTTGTAAATTATATTATATTATATAATATTAGAATCAAATTAAAAATGATTTACGTTTAGAAGATAGTTTTAATTGATTCATCTTAAGAATTTCTTAATTAAGTTATTATACTTTCTATAGTTATTTGATTCTTTTTACGAACTTTTCTTAATCGTTTGATAGAATCTAAGATTAAATTTGATTACTAGCTTTATACAAATTATCAATATTAATTTCTAGTATTGAATTTAGGGAAGAATCATTTGTCATACTTGCTGAGCGAGATGTTAATTATTTTTTAAAGTTTTTCAAATAATGTTTAGATTATTTTATTCTTTTAGTTACAGGTAATGTTTTTTGATTAATTTCATTTAATTTCTTATTTTCTTTTGGTTTTACAAACAAATAAGCATATAGTTTGACATCTTTATTTAATGGATCATTTAAAACATATCTATCCTATTCATATTCTTTAAATTAAGTATTTTTCATTAACATTCTCTTCTTTGCCTTATTTAAAAGCTATTATTCTTATTATTCTCTTTCATACATAAATCCTCTTAATCTTTAATCTATTATATCCCTTACTTTTTATTTATTAAAAATATCTTAATCTTATTTTGATTCTTTGTTTTATTTTAATTATTCATCATCTCTCTTAACTCTAAGATATCTATGTGTAAAATAATTAACATTTTCATATTCTCTTTATCCATCTGTTCTATCTGTTATGAGATTCTTTTATTTAAACTTATATTTATTCTTTTCACTAACCTCATAGAGTTGTCTAAAAAGTTACACATCTTTGAGATTAGTATCTTCAATAGGTTTAGTATCTTGATTTTTTTGTATTAATTTCTTTATTTTTTCAAATCTTTATAAAACTTTGACTTTCTTTTCTATCTCTTAATCAGTTAATCCTTATTAATGTAAAGATTTATATTTATTTGTTATTTGTAATTAGTTAGCAAACATATTAGCTCGTTTTACAAGTTTAATTCTATTTTTTAGTTTAGTTTCTTTTCTGTTTAAATGATTACATTCATTTACTAAATTCAAAGCAGAAAGTTCTCCATTCAAATATTATCGAAATCCTTATCTGAGTTTTTCATTGAATTATAAAGGATTTGCTTAATTCAATGGAGATGAATAGAAGATAGGATCATTAGCATATTTTTGAGATTTATTTATCTAATTTTTCTATTTTAGAGTGTTTTAGAAATTTCCAAACATTTGATCCCATAACAATATATTTTATCCAGTACCATTAACTGTTGATTATCTAGTACTGTACAATGTCATACCACTCTTTGAGTTCACATTAAGCATTTTTAATATAAACTTAGCAAATTTATTGCTAAGTATAATTAAAATACACATATATCATAATCCTTAAATTTGTTTCAAAATTCTCAATGTGTCCTTTTCATAAATATTAGCAGCAGATACACATACAATCAAATTAGTCAATGAACTATTACGAAATGCATTTTTTAACACTTTTGTTATTAAATGTGTATTGCATAATAATAATCTCTAAGTTTCATCTTTTGTATTCAAAATACATTCAATTTGACTTAATCCTGTATTATTAAATATTACTATTATTTTAATAATTATTTTTACTTTCATTTAACATATTAGGTGAACAATATTTAGATTTTTAAGAACCTACTAAATCAACAAATTGAATTGCAAAATTTCCAAAATCTAATTTAATTATCAAAGGATATATTGTAGAAATATTACTCATAAGACCATTTTATTAAGTTCTATTCTCATAACCTGATTAAATAATTTATAAGTATTGATCCATATTCTATATAGAGATCTTTTTTAAATTCATACAATTAAAACTCTCATTTGATTATATTAATTTAACTTCCTATTAAGTTAACATATCAATTAATTTATTCTTTCTTATTTCAATCATACTAATTGAAACATTTTATTGTTTATTATTATTTATGTACATTTAACCAATTTATTCAATAACTCCATCTTCCCTGAACATAGCAGTTGTTTTTCCAGACTATTATAATTAAATTAATTATACTGCACATTCTCCATAAGTAATAAACCATTAATCTTACTCTTAAATTGGATTATTATTAAATTATAATTACTAATCTTTAACTATTTAACAAAATTTGATATTATTATTCATTATTTTTAATTTATTTTCATTTATCTCTAATGATTCTATTGCTCCTCTAATAATATCACTTTATCTTAAACCAATTACTCTACAATAAACTTTTAAATTATTTTAATTCATTAATAAATCATTTCAATAAAAAAATTGAATTTAATATTAATAATTGAATTTTCATTATTGTAGAATAATCCATATAAGAATTAGATGTATATATTTATTATACAATTAATAAAGTAAAATAAAAAGATAGGAATTCATATCAACTTTTGAAAATCTATTTTAATTATTCTTTTAAATCTTATGAACAATTTAATGATTCTATGTACTCTTTCTATTCAAGGCCATTCAATTTAGGATAGTTTTGATTCTTCATATAGAAATTAGCACATTTTTATTAATCCAAAAAATTGATAAATTTTATTTAATTTTCAACCATTTTTAGATATTCTTTGATTACATTTCTTAAACGTTTTGCTTGACTTCCATTTATAAATACTAAATTTATATTATAATTTACTTTATTACTTCTATTCTAAAGATTTGATAATAATCGACCCATTAATTTCACCATTCAATTTGAGAATATAACTTAACCATAAATTTAAAATTATTAATATTTATTCAAGATCGCTTTCTTAATTACTAATTAAGGAATTAAATAATTATAATTAATAGATTTTGTTCTCAAAATATATCAACATATTGAATTCTTCAATACTTCTAGGTGAATATACTTACAAATCATGTTAATCGTTCTATCTAATCAAAGGATGTTCAAATATTTATACCCAAGTTATTCTATCATCTTCAGAATATCTAAGCATCTATTTTATAAGTGTTACTACAGATGGCATATCATTCTCAGGAAAATGAACTCTATTATGTTTCAGATCTTAAAAGAAATCTTATAGTTCACTTAAACCTTTTATTTTTTCGTTCGGTAAGGATCCATATACCATTTTATACAGAATCAAACCAAAAGACCATACATCACATTTAGAAGAGAAATATCCTTCTAAAAGTTAAGGAGAAGCATATAATGGTGTGCATCTAATTGACAATTCTTACTTTATATCAGGATTAAGAACAAATCTTGCAAATCCAAAATCTGCTATTTTAGCTTTATTATTTTTAAACACAATATTTTCTGGCTTGATATCTCGATGAATAATATTGTTTCTATATAATTCCTTATATCCATTACAAAATTATTTGATAAATTATATTATAGAATTTTTGTTGAATTATTATTTTTGTAAGAGCTATGATAAATTTCCACCTTCACAAAATTCAAAAACTTCATAAGAATTTTGATTGTGATTAAAAGTTTCAATAAATTATACTAGATTGTCATTCTCCTTTATATTTTCATAAATTTCCAAATTCACTTTGAACATTGGTTTTATCTATTTCAAAGCAAATGCTTATTTTGCATATTCTACCTTATATACCTTTCCTTCACTTCCTTGACCTATAATCTCCAATATTTTGTACTTTCCAATCTTCAATTACTTATTGAACCCATAACGAATATCCATAATGTAAATTATAAAATAAAATAATTTAATAAAATTGTAAATATATAAATTTGTTTTAATTCCAATATTCAATCTTTATTAGAATCTTATAATTAATTATTATATATTAATAATCAATTATATATCATCTAAAATTGAAATAATATTAATATGATATAAACTCTAAGCTTTATAATTATTTTATGCATAAATATTTATTTATTTTATAATAAATAAATTTTATTAGCAATAAATTTATGTTTCAAAACTTTTATTATTAATTTTTCATATGAATTTCAACCCTTATCCTATAATGATTGTAATAGATATAATATTCAATTAAACTAACTTTTAATCAATTAAAATATAATTTAAATAAACTTAATTATGATGTTTCAATTAGTTTATAAGCCAAAGATTAATTCTTAAAAACATTAATATTAATATCAAATGAATATGTCTAATCAGCTTATTGGTGGATTTCAAATAGAAACACCATTTAAAATCTCAAATACTAAATCTGGAGTGTTAGAGAAAATTTTATATTCAATTGGCAAAAACCCAATTGTACAAAGAAGAGCTACAGATTAAAATAGAATGACCATTGAAGGTGCTTTTATAAGTCGTAATACTTACTAATGATTTATCAATATATATTAAAACAATTGAAATAGACTCCAAAATGCTTAACATTTTTTTCATAGTATTACTGATCGAATTTATTATAATATTTGAATGTATATATTATAATCAATTATAAATAAAATCTTCATCATCTTGTAATATGACATTCTTTTTTATGCATGTTCTATAAAGAGTAAGACCGATAGCAAATAATATTGCCCAACCCCATGCAAATAATACATATTGCCAATCAAATCCATAAAAGACTCCTACTTATAATATTTACAAGAACCTGGTTCTTAATATAAAATTTTTTCAGAATCACAAGAGTCTTCACAAGTATTACAACCACAAGGCTTTTTGATTTCAAATTTATATGGGTCATAAAATTTTCCATCATCAGCCTTTTCAAAAGTTTGATTGCAATTATCTATGTTAGGCATAACTAAAGAATTTTATTCAGAAAACTCTATAGCAATTAATTAAAGAGATGAAGAACTAATTAATTACATCATATCATACACTCCTTATTCAGCTTAAAAAGTAAAGAATCCACCAGGGGTTGACATGGCACTTACTTAAGAAGCAAAGTTTGTTCGTTTACAAGAAGAAAATACATCCTTATGATGACTATTTTAATTACACATGCCACTTAAGGATGTATACGTAAAGTTACAGTTTATACATCAATGGTTCTATTAGGATTTCTTGGATCAGTGACATTGGCTCTGCCAGTGATTTTAAGAAATTCTCCCTATCTTGGATCACATGAATAAGCACACCAAAATCTTTTCATATTTGCTGCACAACTATTGTTTTTTTAGTTATTTACATATCACCATCACTTCCAAATGTGGCATCTAATGAGAGAAAATCACTTCCAATTCCTTCATCTTATGATTAAGTGCAACAAACAGGAGTTTTCTCATAGAATTGACATGAACTTAATTTATCAATAATCCAGGGCTCTTTATCTGTTTCTATGGGTACTTTATTATCATCTAAAGTGTATCCGCAAGGTGTTCCATTAATGAACTATATTAATGCTATAATCCATAACATATTTATTTTATATTAAAATAAATTTCAATGATTCATCAAATCTATTATTATTATCTCTACTATATCAATTCATGGTATGATCTTATTATGTCTTATTATGTAAGAAAATCAAAGAAAACAATATTTATTAATTTTTAATAGAAATATAAAATATTACTTAGAAGTTTACATAGTAAAATAAGCATTATAAAAAATGATCTCTATAATTTAAATAGAAATTTATTGATATTTAGAATAAAATATAATTAATCCAAAGGATTATTATGTGTGTATTTTTATTTAAAGTAATAAAATAGAGAATAGAATATTCTAAATTAGTATAACGTAAATATGTGGAAAATTGATTATTTTCTGATTGAATAAGATAGAAGATTCAATTTGAATGAATTATTTTGTTGAATTTACATCATTAATAAAATATATTGAAAACTTGACTGTTAATTAAATTTAATGTAAAATAACTCACCAATTAAAGGTCGACGTATTTCAAACCAGATTAAGTTGACAGGCAAAGTACTAAAAAAGAAGACAGCATCAGAAGTGGAGATCTTAGGTCCTTCTGGAAGAGATTTGGATACTAGTGTGGTTGCGAAAATTTAATTAATGTAGTACGAGAACCTGAAATCACATATGCAACAGTGCCAAAGTGAACTTAAAGTTGCAAAGAGCACAGAAAAGATTAAAAAAAAAAAGTCTCTTGATCGCACTGCTGCCATTAAAAAGAGTCAGCAATTGTATAAGAAAAAAAAAAAATCCACAAAAATAAAAAAAAGTGTTAGTGCAGAAAGAGTTAAGAGTTAAACTTTGGAGTTCTCATCTCCAGAATGTATACGTCGTAAAAAAGCAGCCACTTTTTTTAATGAAAAACCAAATACTCTGCAAGATCATCGTGAACAATTAGGACTTAGTTTCTTAAATAAAATAGGCACTAAGAGAATTGATTAAATTTTAGAGCGTATTTAAATGATTCTATAGCGTTAGGTAATAGGATGTCGTCAATAGAACATTCACATCATCCTCCTCTTACTCCTGAAAAACATCGCATTCCTCATTAAATAAAACATTATATAAAAGAGAAAAAGAAGTTTTATTCATAATTAGAATCAATAAAACAATAATCAATGTTAGAAAAGAAAAAACACATTGATGAAAATCTACGTTCATTGGCTGAAATAGCTAAAAGAAATTCTCTATCAAATAGTAGATCACCACCTAGAGATAGTACAAATAAAATAAGTGCAAAACCACTTATGTTAAGTTATGTAGCTAATCGTAAAAGTACTTCTCGTAAATCTGGAGTTCCAAAATCTTTAAAAGAGTAATTTAAATAATTGGAAGCTCGATATAAAACTTTAAAGAGTAATAGTGATGTTATATCATTGAGAGAATCTAGAAATTATGAACATGAAATGAAAGAATAAGCAGCAAAATGTATATAAAGATGGTTTAAAGGATATAAAGTAAGGAAATTTTGGTAGAAAAAGAAATAGAAAAAGTTATTGAAAATATAATAATTGTAATAATTGAAAGATACAGAAATGGCAAGATGGGATAATTTAAAATCATTCCTTTAAAATCTATAAGTCAAATAAGATATTGTTGTGATTTCAGATTTAATTGAAAGCTTAATTAAATATGCAGATTTCAATAAAGAAAATGTACTATAAAATAATATTGAATAACCTTAAATCAAATTAAAACCATAAAAGTTGATTATTGAAAAAACTGAAGTGTTTCCTCCATAAATTGGTCAAATTCTTTAACTTAGAGGAGAATTGATAAAGGAGAGAGAAAAAAAAGAAAAATAAATCTTAAAAGATCTTCTTGTTTAAGAAAGGATCTCTCCTCGCTCTTTTGGTTTGAAAGAATAAGAAATAGTAAAGTGGGGAGAAAAAGAATTCTAAGCATTAGAAAGTAGTAAATAAGCAATTAAAGATGGATGGTTTAAAGCATATGAAACAATATAAAAAACTTAAAAGGATTTAAGATTTGTTTAGAAATTAGGAGATGATCATTTTAGTAAGATGATGCCTGTAAGTGTTAGTCAAAGTAATCTACTGAAAAATTAACTTCATGATTTGAAAATTAATGTAATTATTATGAGTGATTTATAGTTATTAAGGGCTAGCTATTCTGAGGAAAGTCTCATTGATTAAAAAAAGAAGCCACTTTAAAATTCAGAGTAATTAGATATTTAGGAACAACAATTAGTATCATACAATTCAAATTAATCAAATAAGACTCTATCATCATATATCCAAGGTCTAGAAGTAATATATTACCTAAGTAAGGGATGTTCCATTAGATATGGAAGAGTAGGGACAAGTTGAGAATCTGCAGTATGTGTAGACTCATGTTGGCTATGTCAAATAATATTTAGAAGACATCAAAATAATTGTTAAAAATCACTATAAGAATTAATTCTTACAAATTATCAATTTAAGTATTGGTCCATCTCCCTTTGAAATATTAAGATTCTTTAGGTTGACAGAAGAAATGTTAGAGTAATCTTTAGATGGTGGATTTATTCATTAAGCTGTTTTAAGTTTAGAGATATTTTCAATGAAGGAGAAGGTTGGAGCAGAAGATGTTTGTGTTAATGAAATGGAAAGAATACATAATAAGGCTATTTTTGATGCTTTTAATGAAGCATTAGATTATCATAGACCTTTTGGTATAAAGGGAAGACCATTACCTTGGAGAAAGAATGTAATATGTCGGTAAGTGAATTTGGTTGAAGAAGCTCTTGAGAAATCTTCAATAAGAGTTGTGTAATGGGCTGAAACTTTAAGTGGCATACTATTACCATAAGGTAGTTAAATGGATAATGATATTTTGCCATAAGTTAGAGAAGAACGATTAGATAAGATGTTGAAGTAGGAAGTAAATTAATTATTTAATATTAATAGATATTCGAAACAGATGATAGATGGTAGGAATTTGATGAAGAACATACTGAAGTAGCATTGGAGTTGAGTGAATTAATATTCAATCATCTCATTACTGAAGTAATTACTGAATTAAGAATTTGATATATTATTTTATATTTAAATTATATCTCATTTAAATTTGATAAATAATAAATTAAAAGCATATATATAAGAATTAATTAAATATTATTCATCAATAAGGATAATTACTATTTTTATTATTCTCAGTAATCATAAATAATTTAGGTGTTACAAAAGTACCTTAACTGACAGGAAGTTTAAAGTTTTTTCTCACAGTATCCTATTTTAAAATAGCTCTTTATTGAGGTTTTAAACTTGCTAATCTTATATTTCTGATAGTATCATCAGCTAAAAGAGTAGTTGAATGTTCTTTTTTTAGTATTCTTTTCATTCCTGAAGATTTTTCACTTTTTAATCTAACAATTTCTGTTCTTTATTCTAAGATTTTAGTTTCAGATCTATATTCTTAAGGTCTTAAAGTACATTCTGATTTCATTTCAGGTTTTTCAATTCTTTTAAATGATTATTATTATTATTATTATTATTATTATTATTATTATTATTATATCTTTTTTATATCTAATTATATTTTAATATACTTACTTGCTCCTGTAGATTCTTAATATAATAAACCTGCATGTTCTATAAATTTATCATAATCTTCTTCGTATTATTCTAATGGATAAACTTTTTCAAAATTTCCAATATTCTAATTTTCATATTAATCTCTAATTTCTTAACATTACTTTATTAGTTTTTATTTCTCTTCCAATGTCAATTTAATAGGTTTAGTTGTTAACATCCTTTACTGAAGTAATTGCTTTTCTTAATTTATACATTCCTATTTAGCCTTCTAAGTACAATTCATCAAAATTAATGACTATGAAATCAATTCCCTTTTTATAGTTGCATCCAAAGGAGTATCTGTTGTAAAACTTGGAGAATGATTGACTTCTAATAAATAAGGTTTAAGTTTATGATCCAAAATAACATCCATACCTAAGACTTCAAAACACATATTATTCATATGATTATTTGGTTAACAAGATTTATATTAATGAGCTAAAATAGGTTATACAGCACAAAATGTTTTAATCATCATTTTTTTAATTGTTTTCCATAATTAATCAACATTCTCACCTCTACTTTTTAACAATTCAAAAACACTAGTCATACTTCTCTTATGTCCAACATCCATTTATTTATCACTCTAATTAAATACAAAATTCTCATTATCCTTATTAACAGCATAATTTGTAAGATGCATACAAATATTATCTAAATTGTCTTTGCCTGGTTTTTTGTATAATTCTGTTGCAAATCTAGCAAGACCTTCTTTAAAGATATAAATTCTTAAAGGATCACAACCAGCCAATAATACATAAATTCGAAGATCAAATTTTAAACCATCTATTAAATAAGGTTTACTTAAATATCTTTATGCTACATAATGTTCATGAATCGAAAGACCTTCAGCATCTTTAACCAACATTATCCCTTTACCTTGACATGATGCTTCAGGTTTGATGATAAAAGTTCTGTTCTTGCCAATATTTGCTCTAAAATCACTTAATTCTGCTGGCAATAACCAAGTATAAGGGAAGTAATTATATGCTTAAGGAAACTATTTATGCATCTTCATAAGGTTCCTTCCCAAATGATTTTTACGAGCTAAACTATACATTCCTGGAAAATGATTCACTTTTTGATAAGCTAAATTATTTGATTTATGAATTACAATTCATTCTCCCTAAAAGATCAGAAAAGACAGCTCCATCTGTCCACCATACATCCCAATTAGTTGCATTTTCATCCTTCTAAATTTTCCAATTTAACATTTTTTTACCAACATATCGTATCACCGGGTATTGGGAGCCTAAAAGGAGATATGTAGATCATTTGTACTGGAAACATTAATTATTAATTGTTCTTTGCTTTTTTTAACCTTATTTTTTGGTTTGGTCACCTCTTTTTATGTTTAACTATCATCTTATTACATAGTATATATAAATCAATAAATAAAAATTCATAACAATTATTAATAAGTAGAAACTAATAGCCTATTTTTGAAACTCTGATATATTCTTTTACCTAATTCCTAATGCAATCCTAAATTGAGTAAACTGATTGCACTAGGAATACATTACTAAATTTCTTTTAAAGAGTATTTTATTGTAACATTCTTACAATTTTTCATACTCTAAAAATATAAATGAAACTTTTTTCTCTTTTCTTAATAAAAAATTGAAACATAAATCTATGTTGGTCTCATTGTAAATATCATTCTCTTCAATAAAACATATTAATATTACTATAATAAAAAATAAAATATACTTTAAATGCAGCATATTGTTTATAATTAGCATTTACTTTTATTAATTAAGGACATTTTTCATCTCCTAAAACATCTTGAACAATGAATGTACTTGGATTCAATTTTAATTACTTTTTTAATTTATTTAACATATAAACTGAACATTTTTAAATATCAGATTATATGAATTCATATGAATCTACAAAACAATCTTTTAGTTTAAGATTTTAAAGATTTCTTCTCTCATCATAATAATAACTATACAAAACCTTACGTAACATTAATTTAAAATTAACTACTTTAGGTTCTTCAAATAATGTAATTCTTTGATAAAGTTAAAAATTTTAGCTTTCATTCAATCTGATAGGAACACACACTTTAAACATATCTAATGGTTTACGAACATTTTCGACAAAAACTTCAAATAAAGCATTTACTTCATTTCCCAAATAAACTACTTAAGTATATAGATTTTCTCTTAAGACACCTTAAAAAGAGTCAAGATTAAAAATGAAATGATTTTAAGAATTTTTGGTAATAATTATTTTATTCATAAGAGCTTCCCAAATTTTAATTTCAAATGTAGAAATCATATCAAGATTATTTTTTCTTACAAGTATTTAATTAAAAAATAGATCCTTATCACTTTAATAGTAATTTTCCATACTTCCTTAATTTGAGATTCTTGGACTATGTTTAAAGAAGAGACTTTTATCTGCACGAGGAATATTCTATTATTAGGTAGGTAAGGACAAACGCATTGGATTTAGATTTCCAATTGAATTTTATACACTATATTATTTGGCAATCTATTTTTTTAAGAATATTGGAGGTTATGTTGATGATCTTACATTCTATCTACTTTAATCACTGAAAGATTCAAGTAATTTAGGTGTATCATCATAAGGTTTTTCAAGTAATTCATCTTCATTATTAATTGATACTTTGCTTTCTGTTAATTTCTATAATTCCAATTAAGGTATGGCTCTTGCTTAACTTCTCATTTCACTATAAAAATCTTCAAATTCATCAGGATGATTGACAGCAATTTAATAAATCTTGCTCATTTCAGAGAATTTCCATCTATTTATATAAAATTAATCAATAGTTTCTTTAGTTACTAAACATGATGGAAAGATAGATTCTAAAAATTCTGGATTCATCTATTAGAAATCACTCTATTAAATATAACAACTAAAATTCCTACAAGTTTATGGAATATACAATCCAATTTAAAATTTATTCATAGACAAATATGAGACAGTTATAATAACATACATAGAATTGACAACTTTTGTAGTTTTATATATAAATTTTTATCCTCTAAATACTGGTGTTAACATAGATGTATTCTTTAAAATTCTACTGGCTTCAGCTGGTAATTATAAATTGTCAATTTAAACATCCATCATTTATGTTTATGATTTCTTACGAAAAACATTATCATTTATTAATATAGATAATTTAGGTTAAGATGATCTAACATTTTATTATTCTTCTAAGATATTACTTCCATATGTAACTTCAGTAAATGTATTATGTAGATCATATTTTGATTGATTAATGATATAAGATAATGGTATCTTTATTCCATGATATGTATTAGTTCTATAACAAATTAAGTAGGCAGTCAATATTTTGAGAACATCATGTAATATCTTATCATGAAAACAATTATGAAGTGCAACTTTTGGACAAATACTTTTGATGTCTGCTAGATCCAAAACTAATTTGAATATTTTTGTTCTACTTTCTTATGGAGTAATTTAAAAGTAAAAATATGTATGTTCACCATTTTCTTGATCAAAATAAAATCTATTGAATTAATATACTTCACATTCCACAAATACTTTTCCAATATTACTGACTCTACTTTATGCATTGAATGTTTTTCTAAGAAAATAAGTATTCATAAAATATCTTAAACGACTTGATGAAATTAAAGTTAATTTTAATTGTTATTTGAAATAATAAAAAAGGATAGTTTGTTTTAAAAGTCTTTGATTTTCATTACTAATAAATTACAATGGATCAGATATGTACATTAATAAAAATTGATCTAATGCACTATATTTATCTCTATTTCTTTCTTCTAAACTAATTTATTATTTTTTAAATTGTAATGCTTTTCCTATTAATCGATGTTAAATTTTAGATTATGATCTAATTTATTAACCAATCATCTAAGGTTTATTAAAAATATGTAATATCTTTTCAACATCTTATAGTTAATGTACAGTTCTATAATATGTTAATCTTTGATTAGGGTAATATAGTCTAATTTTAATTTATAGTTTTTTTAAACCAATTAATTCATGCATATTCTTTTTTAGAATAATCAAATCTTATTTAGCTTATTAATCACTTAAATATAATAATTTAGTATCAAATACTTTAGTTTCTTTGAAACATACTTCAACTCTGAAATATGAATTAGTATCTTTGAAATAAAATTTATTTTTTATAATATTAAATTTACTTCTATAATTTTTAAATGATTTTCCATTTAAAACATTCTCTTCATAATTTTATTAATTAGATTCATTTACAATAGATAAATGAATACCTTCTTCAGTCTCTGTCTAAGATACTTATTAATCAATTACTAAAGAGGCCATTCTCTCTGAATAAATTAAACTATGTATATCAGTCAAAGGTAATAATTAACCAGCCTATAATTATTAATAAATTTCATTATATATGAATTCATCATAGTGATTAATTCTTTTTACATATCTATCTAATAAAATAAATGTATGTCTAAAGTCATATGTTTATAATTCTTATATTAATGATAATTTCTTTTATTTTTCTGTATGAATTAATTTATTGATAATTTCTAATTTCTTTCTTCTATTGGGTAATCTCACACCAAAATCAATGTTTATTTCTTTTTTGTTAATACTACCATCTTAATTATTTGTAACAAGGAAGGCTTTGGATTCTTATATTAAAACATATCCAATTAATATAGTATTATTTTATTTAAATATTAAATTAAGTGCAACATAATTATCTGGATATTCATTAATATATTCTTCAGGTTCTGGTTAGATGATAATACCTTTAGGAGGAAAGTAAGGTTCCATATTCATATTAGCATTTAATTTAATAATAGGACCTTCTTTTGGTGAATAATCTTAATAATCATCTAAATTTGCTAATTAAAATTCTGGAAAGTATTCTTAAACTAATTGAACTTCAGATTAAGATCTATCCTTATATTCTTACAAATCTTCTAAACTTTTTTTAGATTAAGGAGGTTCGAAGGCTTCTTTTTATTATTATCTTTTAGCAAATTCAGAAAATTGACTACCCATTTTTGGAGCCATACTATTTCTAATTAAGGCTTATGAAGAAATAATTGGTGTATTTCTAGGACTAATCATTGTATTTCTATTATTGATAGTTGTATATTATTTTTTTGGATGTCTTAAAGGAGATTATCTAACTTAATCTTTTTCAGAACTATTATCATTTGATTTAACATTAATAGATGGACGTTTTTAATCTGATTAAGATGCATTTTCATGTGAATATTCAGATTTATTATCATCAGATTCTTAAATAACAATGCTTTATTCATCCATTAATATTTAATGTCTTCGTTATGTAGACAAAGTAATTATTGGTTGTTCTTATTGATGATGTTTAATTAATTTAATAGGTTCATTTTTAAATTGTTTAAGAATCATAATTCTTTTTTGTTCATTTTAAATCTTTTTATTTCTATTACATTTAGTTATATCAATAATATAATCAAGTAATTTTTTATTAATTGCATCTTTCATTGAAACTAATTTATATCCAACTACAGATCTTATAAGATAATAATGATTTTTAAGAGCATACATTAATTTGGCTATAATTTATTATGCAAAATCAGTTTTTAAGAATACTATAGTTTTACAATTGTTTGGTTCATAGAGATTTTATTATTTACAGTATATACTTAAGAGACCATTGAAATTTTCTAAACGATCTTTAGAAAACCATCTTTAATATTCATCAAGATAGCTAACAAAATTATTGATTTTGAAATTCAAATTGTATTACTATTCATCATTTTATAATGTAAAGTAGACTATCAATTACAATGCAATAATAGATTATTATTCAGTAAATATATTCATTATATGTTATAATTAATGTCCTACAATATATATATATATAAATATTACTTAATTATGAAGGAGTGTTTACAAATGATATTTATTCATCTTCATCAGTCTAATTACTAGAATATCCATTGTCACTAAATGCACATATTGAAATATTAGATAATTTCCAGATTTTGATTTCATCATCAAAGAATAATTTACCCAAAAAGTACATATCTTAATCTGGAAGATTATAAAAATCTACAATTATTTAAATTAACTAATATATGATATAATTATATATTACTGTTTTAGCTTTGTTTGTACTGATTTATTCAGCTTCATTATTTTTGATCTCTCTAACAATCTAATCAAATCTTCCTCCCTTTCGTATAGAATTCTTGAGTTCTTTTACTGAAACTTTCATTGTGGTTCTATTTGTTTGAATACTATCTAATTTATCACTACATGCTGTTTGACTTTATGGTTTTTATGTAGCCAAAGGAGTTAATTCAATTGTTTGAATAGTTTTAATTTTTCTTATATTGCATTTATATTTTCTAAAATATTATTAAATGATTTTTGCAGCCAAATTTAATTATTCAATTGAATACTTATTTAATAAGTCATTATAGAGATTCTCACTTTATTCAGTAATTTCAGTTTACATATGTTATAATAAAGGTATAAGAACCTATTATTAAGGAGATTATTATTATTAAGCCAATACTGATTCAGTTGTGGGTACTCTCATTTCATCTAATTATTATTGCATATTTAAATCTTAAACTGTCTACATTTTAGGTAATTTCTACTCACTTTATTATGTATCAGATTTATTATGTAACATTTATGTATTTTATTTATTTAACATTCTAGGTATAAGTCTATTAGATTTGATTTTCTTTTTATTAGAAATTAATTATTCATTTTGATCTCCTTATTTATTAGTCTTTTTTTTTAATTGAAGATGTTCAGATTTGAATTGAGGTCTTATAAGCATCATTTCATCAATAGGTTCTGTTTTAAGTTAAGCTTCCTATAATTGAACTCTTAATTTAAATTAAATAATACTTCAATTTATCCATATAATTTTCATTCATTAAACTTGTTCTTTGAGAATGTGCTATCAAAGATAATCTAGGAGAGAACAATTTATCTTAAGGAAGTAATGATTAATTCATATAAGTTGATGCTGCTCTGGATGATAGTTTTTTATTTTTTATTTGAAAAGTTTTCTCTTATTGTTATTAATATTCATCTATTTATTATTAATTAGAAATAGTCTTCAATTTCTCTTCATATTCTTATCTTACTTTCTTAATATATTCAGGCATTTAATATTTAGTTGAATGTGATGACAATTATCTAACTATTTATTGATAAGATTTCACTTATGTTTACATATGATGCTATCAATATTAAATATAAATATAATACATCAAAATTTTTATTTGGTTTTAATGTAACAACTTTACGTAATAATTCTTATCCAACATCTTTTTAAAGATCAGCTTTGAATTATTGAAAATCTACTTTCTCTTAACCCATAATCATTTCAAATTCCATCTTTTAACTTAATTTCTCATATTTATCTCTTGCTTTCATAGTTGCTGGTGCATCAGGTCCAAATATTAATTCTTAAATTTACCAAGCTTTGTATAGATTTCTTAATGATTCTCTTTCAAATCCAACTTTAAATTGAGATTTTCCTATATAATAGAATGCTCTTGCTAACATCATAAACCATTTTTTATATTCTTAATGAAATTCCTCTTTTGTTAAAGTACGTAAAGAATCAAATGTAATTCCCAATCTTTACAAAATGTCAACTAATTTATTACATTAATCTAACATATCATCTTTACGATGCATCATTCTACATACTTCACTACCATGAAATAGTAATTATGTATATAATTTTAATACTTACTTATCATCTTCACAAATATTTACTCTTTTTGTATATGAGAATTTTTCCATAAAAGGCAATACATCTCTTAGATTCATCCAAGCTTTTTAAAATTATCCTTGTTATTCATATAATTATGATATTTAGAGTATTGCATGTCCTCTTGATTTCACAAAAGTATTTGTATAAAATATTCCACTTGTTATTGATATTGGTGTAGTAATCTACAGATTCTAATTATTCCAATACCTCTTTTGCTCTATTAAAAAACATTTCTGCTTATGTATTATTTCCCTATTTCAAAAGTATTCTTCCATCTTTGATCAATGTATTTGCAAATTCTACAGCAGCATTGACTACAAGTGGAGATTCCCAACCATTCTAAGATAGTGTTTATAAATAAGATCGTTCTAATCTCTACAGATTCAACAGTTATCCTGATTACATATTTAATTAAATGAGAAACTCATGAAAATTTGATTATAATTATATGTCAATTTTACACTTTAGATTTAATTACTATTCTAATATTTAGTTTTCTTTAATCTCCCAATATTTGTAGATTGTCTTGACTCTATTCTTTTCCATTTTATTAAATTATTTAGACCTTTTCAGTTTCATCTGTTTACAATTAATTATTCATTTTATTTTAATATTATTATTATTATAATGCTAAACCCTTTAAATCTCTTAATTTTAATCCTATCAAAAATTATTGATATTCTTTATCCTTTGTTATATTTGCTATTCTCATACAACAATTTCGCATTTGTGATCTTAAATAATTACATTTATTTTTTGATTTCCAATCCATTATACTTTTATTTGATCCAAGATTTTTTAATACATATTATTTCAAAAATTCTGGCATTCTTTATTTATTAATTGAATAAAATTCTTAAGACTCTTAATCTAATTTAATAACAAAAAAAGAATTTCTATCAATTATTTGCTAAAAAGTCAATTCATAAAAAATATTTATATTGCATTAGGTTTCACTTAATAAAGCAACTAAAAGTGATAGATTGCTATGACCAATTAAATTTAAATCCTCAACCAATTTACTAACAAATTATTTATGTGATTTAATTGATTGTCTTATATCTCTACTTTTATTTAAATTATCTATTTCATTTTGTTTCTTCATCAATTATTATGAAAATGACTTTTATTTTAGTTCTAATCTGATTCCGCTTTTTTGATGATTAGATGCTGATTTTATTTTATTCCTTAAGAAATCTCTTTATAATATATGAATATGTTAATCTTCATATAAATGTTTGTATGCTTCCTTTTCAAAAACATCCATTTTACAAGATCTACACCAAATATGATTTCTCTCTATTTGATATATTTTAAATAAAGGATTAAGAGTTTATTTCAATATTCTAGAGTCATTAAATGTAGTTTAATGTTTATTAGATACAGAACTCCTAGATAAATATGATGAATCTAATTTCTTCTTCATAGTATTTTAAAGAATGGTTAAATTTTATTAATAAAGTTTAACAAATAATCATTTTAAATAATAGACGATTACAAAATTGCTTTTTTTAAATGGAATTTTTAAACATATAAATTATTATCATATATCACTACAAATCTATTCTTAATTGTCTAATCTTCTTTATTTCATTTGATGATAATTCAGATATAGCACTGCTACTTAAAAAATCTTCCATTTCTTTATAAGATTCCAAAAGCAATGTACTACATATCAATTATAATCTAGCAAATGCTTATTTATTATTTGGATTTGTCATCCTATAAAATTAATTTATTAATAATACGTAATTAAATAATTGATACTTGTTCTAACTTCTTTTTCTAAAATTACAGCTCCTGTTTAATGAAATTTCTTATTCATAATAATTTATTCTAATTATTTTGCTATTGAATAACATAAATGTAATGACATTTATTCATAATTATCTTATGTAAATTAAGTCTTCCATTAATTTAATCCCTTAAAAGCATTCTTTATTTAATTGGAGAAGTATTTTTAATACTCTCTTTCTTATTCCAACATTACAACATCCTTCTAATCAAAATGTAATTATTTTATTTCTTCAAACACTTCCTTAACTGTACTCTTCAAATTCTCTGCCAATACCTTTAATTTCTCTTCTATTAATTTTTAAAACTTTTTAGTATTTACTTCAATCATTTCTTCCACTGCCCCAACAATCATTTATGATTATGGACCTTTAGGTAATTCACTATAAATCTAAGATTTAAGAGTTTTCAAATACATAGGTATATTACTTAAAATATTAAATAACAAAATTATGAATGAATTATTTACTGTTTACTCTTATGATATACCTATAGCTTATGGAGAAAAATATTCTTTTTTTAAATATCGATGAAATAATTAAAGAGTAATTTAATGTAAATCATCTGAAATTACTTAAAATCCTATGAAATTGATTAAGGCACTAGCAATAATTTAATTTTCAGTTGAAATAGCTCTTTAAATTTATTATTTTATTAAATAGAATATCTCTTCTAACCATTCATGATATCCATTACTTAAAAGTACATTTTGACATTCTAATAATTTAGTAAATTTAGCCTTATCAAAATTCCATAAATCTTTAAGAGGTTCTGATTTTTAAACAAAGAATACTATTTATTATTATAATTCAATTTAAGAGAACTCTAAGTATTTACTCAAATATTCTGTAATAGATTCACCTATTGCCAAATTAGTAATATCTTTATCTAATTCTGCAGTTTATTTTAAATGTTACAAAAATCCATTATATTCACTTGATATAGCTGAAATCTCATCACAATAATATGAAACCTTTTCTAATTATTTTTAATCTAAATTAATCTTTTTAGAAATAGATTGCAATAATTAATTATCATAACTTTGAACAGATTTTGCATTCTTAACCATTTTCTCAATTTCAAAAAAGGAATTTAATTATTTTAAAACACCAAGTAAATAAGGATGTGAAATTTTAGATACTAGATAATCAATCAATTCCAATACACCTTCAACTCCATAATATTATTAAACATTCTTAGAGAATTTTTCTGGTTTTATTAATTCTAAAATGCCAACAAAATAATTCAAAAATGGATAATGATATTTATTATTTACAATATCTTAGAAGGATAATGGTAGATTTTATTATTCATTCTATTCTAAGAGTCTAAGATCTTTAAGTAATTCTTCACCATAAATGTTTTTAACTTTATCTAAAGATTATTCTAAATGTAGAACTCTAGCCAAACCTGAACATAAATTAATTTTTTCAAGTTCATTATTTTTGACTGCTAATTCAAATTATTACTTTTAAAATGGTATCAATTAGTTCATAATAATATTTTCTACAAATTGATAATCTGATTGACAAAATTCTTTCAATAAATTAGGTAAGATCTCATAATAGACTTGACCAAATTTAATACATGATGCAATATCTTATTATTCAATAGCAATTGGTAATTGATTCTTAATTCGACTCAATTCTAGAAAACAATTCAATGTATTTAATAACAACTCTACATTTTTCTTTTGATTTCTTGCCATACTTGATATTTTTACTTAAGTGCTTCAAAACTCTTGATTGTAACATGAGCATTTTATTAAATTTGATGTACTTGATTATCCATAACAATAGCATCCTATCTTAAATTTGATACTTTCGAAATGCTATTTTTAATGGAATCATCAAGAGTATCACTTTCATTTGAATTGAGTAATTTGTTAGCTTCAAGAATGAGTTTTTATTTTCTCATACTGTAAAGAACTTCTTCTTACTCAATAAGTGGATAGATATCTTTTAATGAGTTCATTATAATATATATATATATATAGTATATTAATGTATCACACAATCATTTGTATATTTCATAATTTAAAATAACAATGAAGAGATTAGGATAAGCTCTGATCTTGATTTATTGGTTAACTCTACTATAAAATACATCTGCAGCTTCGAACTCTCTAAGTGTTTCAAATGCTGCTTGTTCATGCACATAACTTTTAACTGAGAAAGAATGTAGAGAACGTAAATGCTATTGGAACAACAAAAAATGCTCTATTTTAACAATAAACACAGTCAATTATTGCGATTCAATAGGGATAGAAGTTTGTAAAAGTACAGCTGGTTGTGCTAATGTTTCTGAGAAATGTGTGTCATTTTCAGGATGCAGTGCTTACTAATACCCAACGAATGAAACTTGTTAAAACATCTCAATAAATTGTACTACAGATGGAGAATAGTGTATAGAATTAGATAAGTGTAGTAGTTACAAAAATCAGGTAAGTTGCGTAAAAGATGAAAACGGGAAGTTTTGTTATTGGAATACTGAAAAGAGTATATGTGAATTACCAACAACATGTGATCTATTGCCAATTTCTTTAAATTCTGATTTATTATGTAGAGCTTAGATTAGTAGTTGTACAATGAAGGAGGGTGGTGGATGTGAAGCAAGTGGAGAAAAATGTGAAAATTAAAAATTGGAAGGAGCATGTTATACAAGTTTAGATTAAAAAAAGTAATGTATTTGGGATTAAAATTCATGCAAAGAGAAAATATGTATAAATGCTCCTATAACTAATATTACACATGAATTATGTACAAAATATTTATCTACTTGTACAGTAAATGATACTTTAAATGGATGTCTAGATTAATAAATGTTATGTTCATCATATAAGATTTAGGATAATTGTATTATTAATAGTGTTGGTTAAAATTGTTATTGGAATAAAAACAATTAAAAATGTGAAGATAAAAATTGTGATAATGCAACTGATGAATATTAGAATCATGATATGTGTTAATAATGGTTGAATACTTGTACTGTTAAATCTGGTGGAATAGGTTGTTAGACTAAATTAAATGATTGTACAAAATATACTACTTTTAATTAATGTATTAAGACTTTAGCTGGAGATGAATGTTTTTGGAATGAAACTAAATGTTAATTAAAATCATGTGAGAATGCACCTTCAACAAATATTAATCATGATATGTGTTCTTTATTTTTACCAATTTGTACTGTATAAATTGATTTAACTGGTTGTGAAAAATAAAAGGTTACTTGTTCACTTTATACAAAAGAAGAATAATGTGTATCTTAATTAGATGGTAAGTTATGTATATTCTAGAATGATTTATGTATAGAGAGAATTTGTAGTAATGCTTCTGAAGACTTAACAAACGATTCAGAATGTAAAAGATTTTCATCTACTTGTATGGTCAAATCTAATTATAAAGGATGTATTTTATAAGAATGCATAAATATTTAAACAAAAGATCATTGTACATTAGATTATTAAAATAAATAATGTTATTATGGATAATAATGTTAATTAAGAAGTTGTGCTAATGCTCCATAGACATTTAAAACAGATGCAGAATGTAGATCATTTTTAAATGAATGTACAGTAAATGAAGAACTTAAAGGATGTATAGAGAGACCATCATCATGTGATAAATTAAATGAATAATAATGTACTATGTTAAGTGATAATATTACAAAATGTAGTTGGAATGATGATGATGAGAGTAATAAAGCATGTAGAATTTTTAATTGTTCAGATATTACACCAGGAACATAAACAAATGAAACTTGTAGTGCTTTTGATTAATCTTGTACAGTTGCTGATAATCCTAGTATATGTATGTAAAAACCATTGGGTTGTTCATTAATGTTAAATAAAGATCATTGTTTAGCAGTAATATTAATAGATATGTATTCAACTTGTAGTTGGGATAATGAAAATTAATTATGTAGAGATCGTTAATGTTCAGATGCTGATTAAGCAATAAAGACAGAAAATGAATGTAGAAAATATTTATCTATATGTACACTTAGTACTACAGGAAGTGGATGTATGAATGAACCTACATCATGTAAAGGATATAATTCAAAAGAGGTTTGTTAAAGTTTAGTATCTAATCCAAATAATATAATATTATGTGGTTGGAATGGTTGTGAAAATAGAACTTGTTTTAATGCACCTATTCTAAATTAAGGATAATAATATACACATTAATTATGTCATACATATTTAAATTCATGTACTTTAAATGCTGATTAGACTGGTTGTGTTGCTAAATTTACATCATGTGATGAAGTTAAAAGTTAATTTTAATGTGGAGAAACAGTTTTAGTAAATGGATCAAGATGTTATTATGATGTTTCAACAGATAATTATTTTTGTAGAGACTTTAAATGTACAGATGAAACCACTTCATAAATGACACATGCTAAATGTTAAAGTTATAGTAATTAATGTACTCTTGGTGAAAGTGGAATGGGTTGTATTGATCTATTAAGTTCATGTTCAGACATTAAAGAAATGTAATAATGTGAAGGAACTATTTTGAGTTTAAATCGTTTATGCAGTTGGGATACTAATCCTACACCTGAATCTGAAAATTAAGTTCCAATTTGTAAAGATAGATAATGTAAATTCAGTCCTTAAAAAGATACTCCTGATGGTTGTGAAAGTTATTTAGGATCTTGTACACTTGGAGATCCAGAATTAGGATGTATTGAAAAACCTTCATCATGTAATGGTTTAACTCAAAAATAATGTAATAATGTAAAATTAATTAATGGAACATATTGTTCATTTGATAGTACTATTGTAGTTGAATCTGAATAATGCCATCCTAGAATTTGTGCTGATGCTCCTACTAAATATTAAACTGATGCTGATTGTAGAACTTGGTTACCTAATTGCACAGTAAGATCTGATGAATCTGGATGTATTGATGAACCTGCTGATTGTTCTTAAATGATGAAATTGTAATGCTTTAAACAATCTACCAAAAAAGTTACTTGTTTCTGGAATGCCAATGCTAATCCTGCCAGTTGTAGAGCAGCTCTATGTACTGATGCAAGTACAAGTTTATATACAAGTGATGCACTATGTAAAACATATAGATCTGATTGTACTGTTGCTAAAGCTAATGGTTGTATTACATAACCAACTTCATGTGCTTCTTTAGATCAAGATCATTGTCCTAAAGTAACTATCAATGCAGCTAGTAAAGATGCTAGTGAAAATAAGTGCAGTTGGAGTCTTACAACTTCAGCTTGTTAAGATAGAGTTTGTACTGATGCACCAAATACAATTAATACAGAAGAAGGTTGTAGAAGTTGGCTCAAGACTTGTACTCTTGGATTGACTAATTAAGGATGTATTACTGAATAGACCACATGTGATTTAGTATAAACATAGAATTAATGTTAAGTGTTATCTAATGGTACTAAATGTGGATGGAATACAGGTTGTGTAAATAGAACATGTTCTAATGCTCCTGATACTTATATTACTGATGAATAATGTAGAGATTATCTATCAACTTGTACTGTTTAAGCAGATGGAACTGGATGTGTTATACGAGCATCTAAATGCACTGATATTTTAGTAGATAAACAATGCATTAAAATTAATAATAGTAAATTATGTCAATGGAATACAATTAAATTAAAATGTGAAGATAGAGCATGTACTAATGCACCTATTACATTAATTAATCATGATATGTGTTAAAATTTCTTATCTACTTGTACTGTTAAAGCAAGTGGAACTGGTTGTTAAACATTGTTTGATAAATGTTCTGCATATACAGTCAATAAACATTGTATATTAACATCAAGTAATAATGGTTGTCAATGGGTTATCATTTCAGGAACAGGATAATGTGTAGATATTTATGAATCATGTTCATCTTACACTATGGAAGCATCTTGTACTGCATAAAAGGATTAATCTAAATGTATTTGGTCAAATGGATCCTGTTATAATAGAGAATGTTAACATGCACCCAAATCTTATTCAACTCATGAATAATGTCAAGAATATGGAAATTGTACTACCAATGGATAAGGTTGCATAAATTATATATCATGTGATTAATATAAATATGCAGCTTCTTGTGTATAAGGAATCAATGGTAAATGTGCAATTGTTAATTAATGTCAAAATATCAGTTGTGATTTAGCCTTATCTACTTATAAGACTCATTCAGATTGTCAAGCATTTCTATCTACATGTACTACAAATGGAAATGGTTGTATTGAAATCAAGAGATGTTAAGATGCTTATGTGGAAGAAGCCTGTAAAATTAATACAAATAAAAGAGAGTGTGCATGGGTTAATGGAATGTGTTATGATAAAAGTTGTGATACTGCTGATATATCTATTTAATCAGAAAAAGGATGTGAGGAATATTATCCTGAAAGCAAATGTACTACTAAAAAAGGAGGAGGTTGTATTACAAAAGGCAAGTGTAAAGATGCATAAGTAGAATCAGCATGTACTTCATAATTTGATGGATTGAAATGTTCATGGTAAAATGGAACTTGTTAATTAAGATCATGCACAGATTTATTGGGTTATGATCATAAAACATGTAATACTGCTTAAGCTGATTGTACAACAGATGGATATCAATGTACAATGATGAAAACATGTTCAAATACTTTGATTGAATAAGCATGTATTAAGGGAACAGATGGACCATGTATATGGAGTTATGGAAAATGTTATAGATATACAAAATGTACAGATCTCATTTATACAACTCATGTTGAATGCAACTCTATCCATCCTTAATGTACTACAAATGGATATAATTGTGTTGCTATTACAAAGTGTTCTAAAACACCAAAAGTTGCTTGTTTTATTGGTATTAATACAAATTAAATTGGAAAATGTATTTGGACACCAACATCTGTAAAAATATCAGCACCCTATTAATGTATCGACTTCACTGATTGTACAAATGCTTTATATTTAAATCATAATGATTGTTATAATTATTCTCTTGGATAATGTACAAGTGATGGTGTAAGTGGTTGTATTAAATTAGATAATTGTACAAATTATACTGTTTAATCTGCATGTTTTGTTGATAAAGCTGGAAAATCAATAAATTCAGCTGGAGCTATTACATCAACAGGTAAATGTAAATGGTCATCTGGTAAATGTGTTGCTTAAGGTTGTATTGATATTATTGGATATAGTCATAATGATTGTAATAGTTAATTGAGTACATGTACTTATAATGGAAAGAATTGTGTTGTGTAAGGTACATGTAGTAGTTATACTACAAATGATTCTTGTACAGTTACAACAGGTACAGATGGTAAATGTTATTGGGATAGTAATATATGTAAAGCTATGAAATGTGAAGATTATCCTGTTACTTTATGTTCACTTTATTCATCTACTTGCATTTAAGATGGATCAACATGTGTTTCACTTCAGGAATGTTCATAATATAAAACTTAAACAGCTTGTGATTATGGTAGTCCAACTAGTGTTTGTGCTTGGATTGTTACCACTACAAATAATAAAGGTAAATGTGTTGAAGTAACTACATGTACTATAGCAACTGTCTATGAAAAGGCATGTAAGAAATTGTCTGATAGATGTTATTGGTAAACTATTACTGTTGCTAATTCAACAGAACATATTTGTGCTCCTAAAACTTGTGAGATACAAACTGGAACTACTTGTACAGGATATTATGATTGGTCTCTTAAAACTTATACTGTATGTTAATTTAGTGCTTAAGGGAAATGTATTTCTACTGATCCCACCAGTTTGTATTAAAATGATTGTCCATTGGCTACCTTATATTAATACACCTGGAATCCAACTACAAATAAATGCACTATTTGTAATGCAGTTTAAACCAATAATTCTACACAATAGAATTAATCAAATACAACTGAAGATAGTTCAGCATATATTTTATCAATTGTAATTCTTCTTGGATTTGTAATTTGATAATGCATATTAATATCAATATATATATATATTTATCATTTAAAATAAGTAGGTCCCATATACTAAGAAGGTTGTTTTTAAATTATTAATCTACTATCCATAGGTAATATTCGACTTTGAGGTAGCATCTATGTTTAAGGGATAGCTTATTATCTAACCATTTTAAAGATGCTATTTGTTTTAGTTTATTAAAATTATTATTATTATTATTATTATTATTATTATTATTATTATTATTATTATTATTATTATTATTATTATTATTATTATTATTATTATTATTATTATTATTATTATTATTATTATTATTATTATTATTATTATTATTATTATTATTATTATTATTATTATTATTATTATTATTATTATTATTATTATTATTATTATTATTATTATTATTATTATTATTATTATTATTATTATTATTATTATTATTATTATTATTATTATTATTATTATTATTATTATTATTATTATTATTATTATTATTATTATTATTATTATTATTATTATTATTATTATTATTATTATTATTATTATTATTATTATTATTATTATTATTATTATTATTATTATTATTATTATTATTATTATTATTATTATTATTATTATTATTATTATTATTATTATTATTATTATTATTATTATTATTATTATTATTATTATTATTATTATTATTATTATTATTATTATTATTATTATTATTATTATTATTATTATTATTATTATTATTATTATTATTATTATTATTATTATTATTATTATTATTATTATTATTATTATTATTATTATTATTATAGTAATTTCTCATAATTTAATAGTTATTTCAAAAACCCTGTATTTGGATTTACCTATCTTCTCTTTGATTTCAATTTCCATAAAGCTTTCTCCATATTCAAATTGTATTTCCTCATTAAATATGCAACTACTATAGTAGGAGATCTACTGATTCCCAAAAAACAATGAACCAATATATTAGTATGTTTTCTATGTCTCTCAATAAAATCAAATGTTTAATCTGCAAATTGTAATATATTATAATCATCTTTATCATGTGCTTATACTACATGATGAAACTAAACCACCAAATCACTATATTAAACTGCCGTTTCCTAACTTGCTGTTAATACTGCCCTAATTTTTAATCTCTTAAGCATATCAAGATCCTTTGCTCCTTCATATCCTCCAACATATATTCCTCCCTCTTCATGAGCTATTAAAAAATCTAAACTAAATTATACTAGACTCGACAATGCATGTGATTGGATCAGGATCAACTATTTATGGTACTGAATAAACGAACTTTAAATCTTCCAAAGGTATAGTTGTTAATACTATGCTTCTAGAAAACGCATCTAAAGTTTAGGACATTTATAATAATTTTAAATTAATATAATATATTTCAGTATTATTATAAATATTCAAAACTTTCTTGGATATTGCATACTTGGATACTATGCTCTTTAAAATATGGTTTTATTATTTTTTTAAAAGATTTTTGAGTTTTAAAGTTTTATATTAGGATCCACATTTTGAATTTCTTATAATTTAAGATTACTTTTTGTTCTGGAAATAATAATTTTCTATTTAACTATTGAATATGTGTTATATAATTCAATAAAAATAAAAAAGATTAAGACACTAAGCAAAACAGACATCTATAACCATGAAATAGTGATTTTTTGAGTATATAAAAGATAACTAGAAAGAATATTCCAATTAAAAAAAGTTGAAGCAGTAAAAATAGTAGTTGAAGTCTCCATTACAATTGCTTTAGTATATTCTAAATTATCATAATCTACATATTTAAAATTGATTGTGTAAATCAAATAGAAAACATTAATCAAAGTTAAAATCAAAGTTTATAATTCTTACTCATATTAATAGAATATGAGAATATAGAGTATCAAAAACTTTTTGGTCACTTAAAAGATGTCTCTCTTATATGACCAAAATTAATTGAAATTTTGTTTCTACCATGATTTCAGTCCTGATACTTAATTTAATAATAATATTATTGTTATTACAAGGATTAAAATAGCAATCAATATACAAATCCAAGTTCTTGAATATGTAAAATCATGATCAGTATTTAATTCCAATAATGACATAAATATTAAATCCCAAGCACAAGCACGTAAAGTGTTTTTAAGAGCATACATCTTTGTCTCCTTCACTTTTTTATAAACTTTCCGTTTCATTTTTTATATATATCTAACTAATTTTGGCCATTCTGATAAGAATTCAGAAGATTCTAATTTTGAAAGTATCTTAACGAAAAATAATGTACCTATATAAACTAGATATAAAGTTGCAAAGACTATAATTTCAGCTCTAAATCCCTCAGCAATATCAGCATTGACTTCATAAAATTCAAACTTTTCATAAGCTTATAAATAAGGAAATTTAAGCAATCTTCCTTAGTTTTTGTACTGACTAATGATATCTAATATTTCATTAACAGATATGACTTAACTTGATTAAAAGTAAATAATTAATGTTTATGGATATAAAACATTAATATATTTGAGATATGATTATTCTTAAAGGGCATCTAAAATAAACCAAAAAGAGAGAGCATTTCCTAAAAGCATAGGTAAAATAGATAGGAGACATAAAGATTTAATTGATATTTCATTTATATATTGGAAAGTTGTAGCCATTTATATCTATTCTTAATTAATATAATTTGATTGTTTCAATTACAAGTATTCTTTCATATATATCAAAGGAGCTAAATTATTATTATATAATTATTCGGTTAAAATAATTTCTAATATTGGATAGTAGTCTAGATTCTTAAATATTTCAATTTACAAAATATATTGTACTTCAGATACTTAATTAATTAAGGCTGGTTAAACTTCCATGATAGTGATATTAAAGAGGGTTTCATTTAAATCCATAATCGATGCTTTGATATTTTCAAAATAGTGAATATTTGATTATTTTAATACAGGTTAAGAAAATGCAATATTTACATATTGATATTAATTTTTTTACATTAGATATTCAGTTATAAGTGTAGGATACTTAACATAATTGCAATCTCTACCTAATTTACAAATCCAATTAATTTCAATTAAGCAATTAAATGTACAACCATCTCCATCGTTTTGATTGCCATCATCACATTATTCTAAATTTGAAAGAATTCCATCTCCACAAATACTAGTACACATATTATTAATTAATATAAATCCAGGATTGCAAGTTTAACATTATCCACTTTAACAATCATTACAATTTATAGGGCAAGAATATTAACATTAATAACATCCATCATTATCTTCACATTCTTCATTTCCTGCTATGATTTAATCTCCACAAATTGTTTTACATTCATTATTAATAAAATAATAACCATATTAACAAGAATCAATACATTTACCATATTAACATTCTTAGCAATCTAAAAAACATGAAAATTGGCAATTATAACATCCATCAAATTCTATTTCATTTCCATCATCACATTCTTCATCTTCTTAAATTATTAAATCTCCACATTTACTTTCACATATATTATTTATTAAAAAGTAAGGTTTATTACATTAATAACAAAATCCAAATCTACAATCAGAGCAATAAGGATTACAAATACATTCATCAAGTGAATACATAGCTAAAATATTATTTCTACATATCTCTAAACATTATCCTAACACCAATTACTATCCATATTAACATTTATAGCAAACACTATCAACACAAATTTCACACTAAGATTAACATAAACTAACCATCTCATATTTAATACATTAATTATTATTCTGTAAAATATAATCTTATTAGCATAATAAACAAATTCCAAATTCACATTGATTACAATAATTTGGACAATTAAATTTACATTGATTACAATTCAATACTCCATCACATTCCTCATTAATTGTTATTAAATTATCTCCACAAATAGATTAACAAATATTGTATTCTAAATTTAAATAGTATCCATTTTAACATAAAATACAAATCCCATTTACACAATCTGAACAACCTTCAATATAACAAAACGGTTAGATAAATATATCTATAAGTTTAATATATTCCACCTCAATAACTCTTTAACAAATAGAGGCATATCTTAAATATTACCATCCAGAGTAACATCCTAAACAAGTACCTTAATGACATAATGAACACCCATCTATACAAGAATACAAACAGTTAAAACAGCCATCAAATGGATCCATATTACCATCATCACATTCTTCGTATTCTTGTACTATTGTATCTCCACATATTGATTATTCTATTATATATTATAAACATACAAACAAATATTTAGATATCTCTTACTCCAAATGATTCAATATTATGATTTTAATCAAGTGTATTTGATATTATAATTTATGTACTTGTAAATAAATGTGGAAAAGTTAACTCAACATTTACAAAAATATCTTTTTAAGATCCTCCACATATTCCATATAAATATTGATCTAATTCTGATAAGCTTTATTTCCATTTAATATTCTAATTAATCTATAAAATAGAATAATCATTATTATCCCAACCATCTATCTTGAGATATTTGAATTTTATCTTCATTCTTGTATGAAATGGTAGAGAAACTAAGGTCAAAATCAATTTAGTATTTTTCCCACAAACTCCATAACCACAAATAGATGGTATCACTATTTTTAAATGAATTCTTTACTTGAACATTATTATTTTGTTAAATCTCCATTTAAAATATTCCACCCATCTGTCGTAAATACATTGTCAATATAGAATGAGGCAACAATGATCCAGGTTTGACATTCTGCTTATGAATTAGATTAAGAACATGTAAGACAGCCAGTTGGACATAAATAAAGGAAAAGTCTGAAATTCCTATATCCCCATGATTCCTAATTTAAAAAATTATGATACATCAAAAGAATCCTAATCCAAAGTGCTTGTTAATTCAATGAATGTTGTTGCTCCAGTGTGTTAAAATTCGAAAGAAATTTCATGAATTGAGTCATGTCTATGATTTCCTATTTATCCACATATTTAAGCTTATCCTTCATAAAAATTGTATGTTTAATGGAATTCTAAATTTTCATCTACATACACATGATAATATTCATTAGGATCCCATGTATCAATTCTATTATTAATATCAAATTAATACATAAAGAGAGTAAATGAAATTTTCATTTTGTAATGAGGATCTAATAATAAAAATTTAGTAGCAGCTATTCCAACTCCAAATTTTTAAAATCCACCTACAATACTATCAGCACCACAAAATTAAAAAACATTAAGAGGATCAGTTCCTATAAATGACCAATCTAATAAATATAAATTTAATACTATCTATGTCTGTCAATGTTGTATCAGTGAATGCAGAATAAAACAGTATTTGCTAGTAACTAATTTTGAATAAAATGGTAGTCAACCAGAACATGTGATCTAACGGAAAAGAATGTTGAAAATTTAAATTATTTAGATAAAAGGTTTTATCATTTCAATTTAAATATTCAATTAAATAAAAATTAATTGAAATTCTTAAAATATAAATAATATATCAAATAATCATTTACAAGTTTATGACTACACTGGCAATTTCGGTAATAATAATTTATAAATATATGAACTCTAATGAATAGTTGATACATTTCTAATTTAATTAATCTCAAATTTGATTTCTTATCTATATAATATTATAAGATAAAATTATAACAATTTTATTTGAAAATAAATTTAATTCTATCATAACACTTCTATTTTTAATTATTCATAAATGTTTCATTAGATTCAAATTATATCTATTAAATTATAGTTTTAATTATTATCAAATAAATTAGATAGATATTATACTTATAATATTAAAGCAGACAATCAAGTTATTACATTTTGATAATATTATTGAAAGATTAATCATAATAATTATTAACTAAACTACATTATTTTAATTCCAAACTAGATTATAGAATTTTATATATTTAATAAATATAATAAAATGGGAAATTTTTGTTTTTAAGAAAGTTAAGAAACTTGTGAATGGAAACAAGAAATAATACAATTATGTAAGAATTATATATCATTTTCTTGGGCATAGACTATATAATCTTAAATTACAAATCTTGAAACTATTAGAGAGATTCAACTAAGAGACATTTATTTAATGAATGCTTCATTTTAGACAATCAAAATTGAAAGTTAAGTAGAGGATGCAACTATTAATTAAAAGAACCTAAAAAAATTCTATAGAAGAACTGGACTATCTGAATAACAACTTGAATAGAATGATATTTCATTTTCTGGTAGTCTTCTATCAGATACTCAATCTTATATATATCATGAAAAAGCATGTCAAATAAGTGAGTTATCTAAAAGAAGTATGGAATACTTTGCACATTTTACAGACATAATAAAATATCAAATAAAAACAAATGAGATTAGTCATTTTATTAAGTTTTTCAAGGAATCCTTTTAAACAGATGAAACTTATATGGATTCTTTTAAATCATTTGTTGATTTTCTTTATCTAAGTGTTATATCATATTATAAAATTTTAAATTTCAAACAAGAAATACCTAAATATTCTAGTTTAATTAATAAGGATACTTTAATAAATTTTATTACAAATTGTCTTTTATAAGATAAGGAATTATATGAAAAACTATTCAATAAAATATCAGAAGAATTATAGGATAAATGTTATCAAACAAAAAAAATGATGATTGAAAATTAGAATCTATCTACACGTGAAATGGGAATCTCAAGAGAATTTCAATTTATAGAAGAACATTAACCATATTTATAAGCTATCAGAATATTATAAAAAGTTTAATAAAAATAAGGACCTGCTAGTAAAGCAAAGGTTATTTTGAAAATGTCTTAAGTGATTACATTATGCATGTCAAAAGGCAGAGGCAAAAGTCTATTATTAGCTACAGATGACATGCTACCTGTCTTAAGATATGTTATTATCAAATCTTAAATCTACGATATTCATGTTCATATATTTATTTTATAGAATTTATTAACCCAAAATGTTCTTTCGAGTAACTTAGGGTTCTTTATCACAAGTTTATAAGCTAGTATAGAATAATGATTATCAATTTTTGTGATTATAATATATTTATATCTTATTACTTGGTTAAATTACAAATTAACAATCTTAAATCTGAAATTATTATTTTGTATTATAAATAAAGTTTAAGTTGTTATCAATATCGAAAATAATCTATTTAAAGTCGAGTATTTAAAAAATATGATGATTAAATTGTTTATTTTAAATACATATAGATGATTATATTATATATATAATATAAAAATTATAAATATGATAATATTTTACTTAATAACTTGATTAGATAAATAATTACTTTTGAAAGTAATATAATAATATACATTTTATTTAATATATGATATTTTAATAATATTTATAGTTAAATTCATATTTATTTTATCAATTGATATAGCATATTTTGATATGAAAAAATGCATGTGGTATTTTAATCTAAAGTCTAAAATTATTATATAATGGGGCATTTAATTTTGAGTAGAAATTGTCTAAATACTAAAATGACCATTTCATTTAAGTAGATAACTCCAACACAAATAAACTTCTCTTCATATCTAGTTTTAATTGTACTTTCAATATTTTCTCCTATGTCCAAACCTGGAAAATAATATTTTAATACATTACATTTCCTAGACCGAAACTTAAGCTGCTAAACCTTGCATGATTCGTAATACTAGATAACAGATACTATTTATTGTCACTGCTCCAACAAAATAATTAATAGATTGCCTTAATTAAATTAAAGAATACTATAATTATTTGTGAATTTCTAAATACATTGAATTTTCATCTCCTTAAATCTCAATTACTTTATAATTAAAAGAAAATAAGCTTGGTTTTTTGAGAATGACACATTTATGATTCATTTAAGTAATTTATAATATCTCCCAATTTTTGATATTCTCTACTTCTTTTACATCTTCTATTTCATCCATTAAATTATTAGTTTCAGAACCCTGAGAAAGTTGATAATAAACTTAGACATTTTCTTTCTTATTGTTATGGTTGTTCTTTCTAAATAGACACCCTCCCATTTTTATATTTATTATTATATTAATAAAGAGAAACAATGAAAATTTTGGATGATCTCAAATAATAAGTGGAAAAGGAAATGTTAAAATTCGATCCACGTTTAGCTTAAAAGAAATATTTGAAGATGACAGAATCTATAAAGGATTTATTTTTAAAAGCTGTTGTTTCAGAGAAATAATCTATCAAATCTGTATAATTATTAATATATCTAAAATATTAGGCTGCTAATTCTATAGGTATAAATTATTCTTCAGCAAAAGCAATTTGGGCAGAATTCAGAAGGAGAAAATAAAAAAAGAAGAAAAATATTAAAGAAGAATCAAATTAGAAAATAGAAAATCCTTTAGTTAAACGATGTTCATATAAAATATTAAATGGTTGTAATAAGATTAAGAAATTATTTATGGAAATCAAATCTTCTGTCTCTTAAAATTTGAATTCAACTCACTTTTGTAAATTGGACTCTCACATTTGAATAACAAATTCTATAAATTATTATTTAATATGTAAAATAAATCAAATTCTTGTGCAGTGTGTTCACTTAAAACAACATTTGGTTGTTCTTAATGTAAATCAGTATTTTATTGTTCTGTTGAACATCAACGTTAACATTGGACTATTCATCAATCATCTTGTCAATCTCTTAAAAATTAAGATAATAAATTAATAGATGATACTATTAGTAAGAGTCCTGCATCAAAACCATAGAAATTTGAAATCTAATAAACAGCCTAACCTAAATCAGATAAGAAATTGATTATGAATGAAAGAGACATATTAATTGAAGATCATGATCGTTACAGATAAATTTCTATAAGATTACTCTCTTAAAGAGATTATTAGGATGCAATCTAATAAATTAAGAAAACAATAGAATTTGCATCAAAATTAGAATTGATTGGTGGTAAAGAAGACACCTATGAGAAAATTGCAGATTAAATGTTATTGGTTAGAGGTATATATTATAAATATATAATAATAGCATAAATCAAATTACTTGATTTGGAAACAGCTAGAAAAACACTAATTTAAATATTTGAATAGGTTAAATTATTGACATAAACATCATTAAAAAATGATTAAGTGAAAGTTTCAAATATACTCAAAGTAATGGCATAATTATTTTATGAAACTGGAGATTAAAGATAATGTGAATTAGCTTATGTTGAATATACTTTAATGATTGAAAAATGTTATGGAGAAGATGTATTAAATTATTATAATTATATTAGAATAATTCAACAGGTAATGCTTATTTTTTGGTTGGAACATTCTATTTGTAACATAAACATTACACATAAGCTTTAGCTTGTTTTAAAAGAGCATTAAATATTCGTTCTAATATTAATCCAAATTTAGAGAGTGTAAGTGATTGTTGGTATAATATGGGTGTAATTTACAAATAATAAAATAAGAAGGATCAAGCAATTGATTTTTTAGAAAAAGCATTAAAATTAAGAAGATAGATAATTGGTTAAAATTCCTTATAGGCAGCTGTTTGTTTAGAAACTCTAGGGAAATTACATATATAATATAATGAATATCAAAATGCTTATAGTAGATTATAGGAATGTTTCAATATAAGAAAGTAACTTTTAAAAAATCCATAACATTAAGATATTGAAAGAGTGTCTAAACTAATTTAGATATTATATTAAAAACTATAAGATCAAAATTATAACAAATAAAATTCAACTCTTTAAGCAACTATTTTAGAGAATAATTTCAATAGGGTTTTAGAAATGGAAGAATCAGAAAAATAAGAGAAGAGTAATTCATCTCCTTCAAGAAAGAGATCTTAACTTAAAACTGATTAAAAATTATCTTAATTATTGAATATATCTAGTAATCTTTTAGAATCTTTTAGTATTGATTAATTGATTTAATTGAAATTATTACAATAAGAATTAGTGAAATATAAAAATAGATAAGAATAATAATAAATAATTATTGATAGTTAATTCATGAATACTTTATCATCAATTTAATATAATTTGTTAAGAGAATAAAATCCATAAGTGTTTTAATTATTATAAATTAATAAACCAGATGAATAATAAAGTGAATATGAAAGTGAAAGTAAACCATCAATTGATTAGAAAATGTAGGCTTCAAATCAAGGTAAAATATAATTGAGATGATTATATATTTAATAGAGCATTTACAAAAGATTGTCCAACGCCTAGGAAGCTTTCGGAAATTATTAAACTGAAGTTTATAACAATCAAACTGTATTTATATTTTTATAATGTTTAAGGATGTAAAAGAAAGAAGTGATTCAAGAAAGAAGACCTTTACTTTTTATTTAACTAAATAATGATTATTGTTAGTTATAAATTATTTATATTACAATGAGTTTATAACCTAGATTAAGTCCAAAGAATTATAAAAAGTATAGCATATTCAATGATTCAATCAATATAAGGACATCTCGTAATACAAGCTTTGATTATGAATTTTAAAAGAGAAGAAATTCTAATATAAGGTTCAAAAATTCAGGCAGTGTTTTGAGAGGTTCAAAAGCTAGTGACTTTATGGGTAATCTTATAGCACATTTTTAATATGTATGTATTTATATTGACTATAATAATTATAGGGTTAAAATGCATTTAGAGAAAAGAATTTGATTGAAGCTATTAAATACTATAACGAATGTATATTAATAGATTCTCTACATATACCAAGTAGATATATGTTGGGAGTGTGTCATTTCTCTTAAAATTAATATGAAAAATGTATTAAAGAACTTAAGTTTGTTAAAGAATAATAGCCAAATTACAATAAGAATGTATATATAATACTTGCACTTGGTTATAAAAAATTAATGTAATTGGATTGGTCAATTAGAACTGTATTAATTTTATAGTCATAATAGTTAGATGAATGTTTGCAGTTTTATCCTTAATGTTATGACGCATTGATATTCAAAGGTAAATTGGAACTTAAATTAAGGAGATTCTAAGATTGTGAATAAACATTTAAATCAGCAATAAAAATTAATTCAAAAAGATCAACAGGATATCATTATCTAGGTGATTGTTAGAGACTTTAAAATAATTTGGATTAAGCAATTAAAAATTATTAAATAGCATTACAATTTGATACAAGTGACAAATCTAAATTGAATATACTAAAAATGTCTATATGTCTTTATGAAATGGCAAATTATAATTAAGCTTTATAAATGATTGATTAGGTATTAATATCTATTAATTAGTATTTAAGTCAAGATGAATAATCATCTGAAGCAAATAAATTAAAGGGACAAATATTATACAAATTAGGAGAAAAATAAGAAAGTTAATTATATTATGAATAAGCTATTTAAAATAATAATTCAAGGAATGCTGTATCAAAAGCTATGATAGAAATTAGTAAATTTAAAATAGAATCTAAAGACTTTTATTCTTTATATCATACTCTTTTAAGAGTTGAATTTTTGGATGTTGATAAATAATAATTATAACCTTATATCTAATTCTCTGAGGCTATTGTTTGTTTAATGAAAAAGAATTATATTTAAGCAGATGAAGCATTTAAAAATTTACAATAATTAGATATTCCACTTGTTATTTAAGAGATATATCATTCATATATTGGATATTTGAATATGATGCTTAATAATTTTGAATAGGCTTTAAAAGATTTTAGAAAAAATAAATCATTACCATATAATTAAATAATATGTGAAGGAATTATTAATTTTAATTCATTTGAAATTGCATATTCTAAATTTGATTAAGCTTTAAGTTATAATTAGATTGATCCAAATATGTATAAAGCAATTTTATTAATAAAAGAAGGATTAAAATAAGAGAATTCTGATTATGTTAATAATTCATTATAATGTTTAATTAGAGCATAATAGTAGAATCAAAATAATTCATAATTGATGTATTTAAAATCATTAGCTTATATGTTAATGGATAATGTTGAAGATGCCTATAAAGAAATATTAACAACAATAGAAAAAGCAGATGAAAATTTAGCTGATCATTATTATTTGAAAGGATTGATTTTAGCATTAAATGGAGATATCTTAAATGCAGTCTAAGATTTTTCAGTCTGTTTAGGAATTGATGATTAATATTAAAAAGCTTATTTATAAAGATCAAAATGTTATTCATATTTAGGAGAAATGTAATCAGCTTTTGATGATATGAATAGCTATATATAATTTGTAGATGACTTTTTAAGTGCTGGTAATCTATTATATAATAGTAAAATGTATGAAGAAGCATATAAAACATATAAATAAGAACCTAATTTAACTATTGAACATATATAATAGATAGCAATATGTTTATTTTAATTAGAATAATTTGATGGTGAAGAATTTAAGGAATTTATTAGAGATAAACCATTTGATTAAAATATGATTCTGGCTTATTAACAAATACTTAAATATGAATATGATTCAGCTATATTAACATTATAAAAAAAAGTTGATTCTCAATCTTCTTTTTTCTTTAATAAATAATATCTTCATTAATATAAGGGCATTTGTTATTTATATTTATAGAAATATTAAGAGGCAATCTAAGAATTTGAAAGATGTATTTAATAAACTAAATCAGACACTCTTATTTATATAACAAATTACAATATTATGTTTTGTTGGATGATGTTAAAGAAATTTAAATATTCTCATACTTAATTAGAATAATTAATTAAAATTTCAGAATAAAAACATGTATTATTAACTATTAGAAATCTATTAATTGATTAAACTGAATTTACTTTATCAGATAATCCATAAGGAATAGAAATTATGTTAGCAGATACAATTAAATTATAACCATTTGTATCAACATAATATACTATTTATCCATATTTCTCACTTCCAATTGCAAAACCAAAAGATATAACTCCTTAATTTGATTTCAAAATAATTGAATCTTTAAATGTAATTAATATATTATGATATTGATTTAGCCATAATCAATTGAATGTAGACCTGAAGCTCCATGGATTAGAAGAAATGAGAATGGTGTTTTATTCACAGATAATTTGTAGTAATGTGAATTAAGTTAAACAGAGAATAGTTCTCCAGAAAACTGAATTTATTATAATATTACTAAATATTATTATATAAGAAAATATTTTATAATTATTTCATTAAATTTTAAGATAAATCTTTAAATTATTATAATTTCTTTTTTAATCTTAATACTACTTATATATTTATTATTAAAAACATAAAATTTATTAAGTTTGTATATTAGTATGACTTAATTATATTAAATCATATTAAATAAATTATTTATAATATTGAAGTGTTAATTAATGTTACCATAAATTTCCGATGATATAATATTAAGTAAAAAGTAAGATAAGTTAATTTGTAGTAAGATTTACTATATTATAAGTTATTTAATTAATTGTTATAAAAAGCAGAATATAAAATTAATATGTCAATAAAATGACGAATTATCATTTTAAATATGAAATTTAAGAAAAATGAAAGGATTTAGTTATGATTAAATAAAATGAGTTAAATTTTAGCACCTGTAGTTGAATAAACAACAATACCAGATGGATTCATTTTAGAATAAAATTCAAAAACCTTAATGGTGACCATAAACAGACCAAATTAGGCAAATAGCTTCACTTTAGGAATGTATTTATAATTGATTGAAATTCTAAAAAAAGCAGCAGAAGATGATACCGTACAATAATATTATATAATTAAGGTTGATATAGTTTTGGTAAAGGGAAATGGAAAAATGTTTAGTTCAGGTAATGATATGAAGAATTTTTCATTATTTACTTTATCAACCGAAGAGGTATTAGATATATAATATTTTATTAGTAAAGAATTCAATTTGCCACAGAATTAGTGGAATTAATAAGAGAATTAAATAATTCCATTTTACATTTTCCAAAGACTTTGATAGCCTGTTGTCATAATGGTGTGTTTGGGTTTTTATTTCCAATGTTGGCTCTATTTGATTAAGTGTTTGTGACAGAAGATTGTTATTTTGTAGCTCCAATGATATAACTTGGTTAAGTAATTATATATATCTATAATAAAAGGGTCATGAAATGTTTTCATCTTATACTTTTCCAAGATTATTTGGACATAGTAAATCATATAGTTTGATGGTAAATGGAGAGAGATTATTGGCAAAAGATGCAATAGAATGTGGATTCGCTTAAAAAATGTTTAAGACAAAAGATGAGATGTATAATCATGCTTAAAAAATTTGTTAATCAATAGAATAAATGGATAGAAATAGTGTAATGAATGGAAAGTTATTGATGAGAGAAGCATTAATGAGTGTATAATTCTATATTATATTATATAATAGGAATTGAGCAAAGCTGGAGAGAGAGAATTGAAAGTAAATTTCAAGATTTGGTCTCAAGAGAATTTGCTTGATAATGTAATGAAACATATGATGAGAATGAGATCAAGATTGTGAAATGATTTTTATATAACAAATTGAATGCAGAATTTAATCAATATGTATTCGTAATTTATTTTAAGTGTGATAGGATGCTTCTTAATTATCTACTCTACTTTTTGGTTCAGGACTCCAATAAAAGATATAAATGATATTGTTGCATTCAGAAAACCAATGTATGATTAAATTGTTTTATTTTTTTTGGATGCTACAGGATATCGATACATAATTAATGAAAATACAGATCATCAAATATTCCAAACAATTACTATATTGAATGATTTAAATCATAATTATCCACTCCATACATTCCTTTAAAAAACTAAAGCTGTTCCACCTTCAACTGATTTTACTATTTTAAGTATAATTAATGGAATCAAATAAATGCAAAATAATATAGATGTGATATTTAAATCTAATCCAGCACCATATGAAGATTCTATATTAAGAAAACAATTCAAATCAGCACTCTATTCAAGTAAAAAACATGATTGGTTAAGAATGACTTCAGGAGAATTTACTTATGTTGAAAATCCATAATTTTTTAGTCTAGAAAATATTCAAATTGCAGATCTTTCATCATACTAATTCTTTAAATAATCTTTTTAATAAGATTAACCAGATTATTAATTATATGTTGTTCATATGATGGGTTTTGATGCATTAGGACATGCCTTATAACATTAAGATTATGATTAAGCAACATAATTGTTTTCAATGTTTAATTCTATCTTAGAAGGAGTAGTTAATAATCTAAAAGAAAATTAACTTTTGATAGTTATTGGTGATCATGATTAAAGTAAAAGAGGAAAACATTATCAATGTTCATAAGAATCATCTGAATGTTAAGGCTTTATTTTTGCATTCTCAATAGATGGACTCTTTTAAGAAAATCAAATCTATGATTTTTATGAACCTACTGATATATCAGCAACTATTACATCTCTTTTAGGATATAAATCAACAAGTCAAAATCTTGGTAAAATTATACCCTAATTTTATCCAAGAAAAACTAATATATCAGAAATCTAAGATGATTAAGAAAGAATTAAAAAATAAGTTATTAAATATCTTTAAACTTAAGGATACAAAATATCATCTACTTTTATTGAAGAATTAAAATAATTATCAGCTGATCAAGTTGTATTTTAATGTTAAAGAAATCTATAATTAGGATTACCAAGAAAAGAATCCTATTTTATTGGAATAATATTATTATTACTTTGTATCTACAAAATGTAAGATCATTTAGGATTAAAAGAGACTATAATTATAGTATCAACTGGTTTCTTTAATGCCTAAATTATGATTATTGGATTATTAGTATTAGTGTTTCTTAGAAGAGAATATAAATTTAAATTAATTCTAAAGATACTAGTTTTATTCATATTTATTTAACTATATGAAATGGGATATATTCCAGATATATTATTATCTATTGAGATTTAATTTTTACTCATTTTAGCTATTAAATATTAAAATTTCATTCTTTCAAGATTGAAATTTACTAAATGGAAGATATCTTTATTATTTTCATTGGTGTTTATTTCATAGAGTGTTGTTTGTGTATTTTTCTTTTTAGATTAAAATGAATTTGAATTAAGGAAGTCTCTATTATAGAGTTTGATTAGTGTGATTATATTATTTTTTGTAATAGATCCAAGATATTTTAATAAAGGAAGAGTAAAGGCATTATATCTAACAATACTTTTTATATTATCAGATGTAAGTGTTATATTCTAATTAAATTATTCTATGAATTTCATATAATTTCTATTATAATTTATGCTCTTGTAATTTAAAGATGTTGGATAGAATGTACTCATTTCTAAAATCCTATATAATGCAATTAATCCTATAAAAATTAATCATTAAGTATTTAAAGGTTATTAATAAATAAATATGAATTCAATGATCTTACTCACTAAAGAATTTGATATTGGACCCTCATTATTTTCAGTTTTTATTGGTAGTTTTGGATGTTAAATAATAGGAATTGCATCTTTATTTTTTAATTAACTTAATTAAGATAGACATAAGATTGTTGGTGCTTTGATTATATCATCCATTTCTAATTTAATGCTAAATTCATGGTAGATTTTGAATTACAATTAATCTATTCATAATACAAATTAAATGATTGAAGAATAGATAACATTGATAAATAATTTACCATTGAAATTATTGGAATTGATTCTATATAGTTTTGCTTTTAGTATATTGGTTAGATAAATAAAGAAATAAAGGGAGATATAATGATTAATATAAATATATATATATATATATATATTATTTAATCAAAAGTATAATTTCTTATAAATTAATTGATTTTAAAATTACTACTGCATTAATTAGAATTGCATATCAAATTGAATTGGTTACATGAAACCTCTCTTTGAATAAACACTATATCCTTTGAATTAACATACTGGTTACTATGGAAATTGTTAATACTAAAATTAAATTAATTATTTTTACATAAAAGTATTATTATTGACCAACTCTCATATCATTAGGTGTTTAAGGAGTGCTGATTTCAGAACTTTTCTCATAAACAGTATTTATAGTAATACAATCCTTTTTAAATTGATGCAATGATTCAGAAATTTAATTTAATAAACCAGTTCTTTCAGCAAAAGAGATTCTTTTTATTGTAGGCATTTCTCTTAATGTGTCCACAGCTATTAATGATATATAGTTTTTACATTTAATATTCTCTCTTTATACTTTAGCTTCTATGTCTACATGTTTGGAAATTTTATTTTATGTATTTGTATTGAATTTTGTTGTAGGTTTAAGAAAGAAATTTTTATTGATTTCTAAATTAGATTTAATCACTACCTATTTTCAATTATTAATATTTTTCAGCTGAATATGAAGTTTAACTTTTATCATCTGAATCCTTTTATGAACATATAGAAAGTGGATTATAACCATGAGATGCTACCTTATTTAGTAGTGGTTCAGGGGATATATTAGATGAAGAGGAATCACTTTTCTTTAGTTCAGGGATTTGCTAAACAAAATTATATAAATCTGTAGGTGTTTTTGAATAGAGTTATTCTTTGAATTCTGAAACAATAGATAATAATTATTCTGGCAATAATGGATTGAGTTTGTTTATGAATTCAAGAAATGTTATTTTCAATGTATCTATAGTATCCATTTAATAAAAATTAGATTATATGTAAATTTTTATAGAATAAGTTAAATATATCATAATAAATATTATTAAAATGGAATTAGAGGAGTCATATTCTAGTTTCAAAGACTTAGATGATGATGGAAGTGACATTTTTAAATCTCTTATAGATTATGATTCAGATCATTTGAGTAGAAATCAATGCACTATACAAATAAGCAATTAATTATAAAAAAGTGCTATTTAAGATAGTTCTTGTTTAGTTAGAGGAAGTGATAAATCAATAGAATCTGATCAATCAATTATTATGGAATAACCTTTATTAATTAAGAAACAATATAGTAAACAATTTCACAATCGTTTGGAATTGATTCTGTAGCGAACTAGACCTAAAAGAAAGTAAGAGAGACATAGATGTAGTTTGGATACATCAGCTATTCTAATAAAATTGTTGAATTCTAAAAGACTTTATAGATTAATATTCAACTTCTATATATTTTTGAACATTGTATTTAGAATGATGTGCTTAGGAATAACACTTATATAAACAATAGTATATAGTTTAGATAAGTAATGGTCTTGTTGGTGGTCATTAGGTGGTTTAATGTTATCAAGAATATTGTTTGGCTTATCAATTTATAAGTTATTAAATATAGGTGAATAGACAAAAGATAAATCTGTAAAGATTGTTTATGAAACTTATTTGAAGTGGTTTGAAGACATTTAAGTGAAGATTAGATAATTAGAAAGAGAAACTAATTCTCTTATTAGAAGGAATCAATCTGATGAAGATCAATTTTTAAAGTAAACCAAAGAAATCTATCGATTATAAAAATAGTTATTGTTTTTAAAGACTTATTAAATATTTATACCACCTGAATTGTCATTTTTATATTTTAGGAAATAGAGTAATGGATTTTTTTAAGTGCAAAATTTTATTATGAAAAGTATAGAGTTATTTTTCTTTATGCCAGCATTTCTTTATTTCATTACTGTATTTAATGTAAGAGATGTAGAAAGAATTTTTATTTTTGATTTCACAGAACATTAAATATAACATATTTTTAGTATTCTAGTCATATTAGATATTGCTATATTTATTATTATATCTTTGGGTTTACTATACTTAGGTAATAAAAAGCAGAAAGTCAAACCAAAATGAATTTATTACTTATTTTTTTATTTAATGAATAATTAAACTGGAAAGTATATTAAATTGAATCTATTCTCCAAATTGAAAACCATTATGAAACGTAAAGGACAACCAGATACAGAAACTATAAGAACCGAATGGAGTTAAATGATTGGTAATGTTGTGAATGCAAGACTTAGCTGACAATTCAAGAATTGAATCTCGAAAACATTATTAATAAAGAAAGAGACTCTATTACATAGCTACTGTCAACTCAGTCTTTATGCGTAATTAGTATTTCATACAGAATCTACCTGAATAAGAGGACTAATTTATATAATAAGAACAACCTCCTAATTAGAGTGAAGAATCCAAAATGATTGAAACTGTTTAAAATTTAGATACTATCAAGAAGATAGTTAAGGTAAGATTGCCTACTGATTTTGTATTAGTCATTTGGAACATATATATAATGATATTAATATTTAGTCAAATGCTATTAATACCTTTAGTATTATCATTTGATATCAACAATGAAGGTGTTTCTATATATGATTGGGTAGTCAATGGATGTTTTTACATTGATATACTCTTATAATTTAATACAGCTATTTATATAGATGGTAATCTAGTATAAGATAGAATAGTAATTGTTAAAGAATATTTAAAATTATGGTTTTGGATAGATTTAATAAGTTCATTTCCATATGATATCATTTTTGATTCACCTGAAATGTAAAGTAAAGCTTAAGTAATTAAATTATTAAGATTTATTAAATTTATTAAAGTAATACGTTTATTAAGAGCTCTAAAATTAAAGAAAATATTTGGTAGAATAGAAGAATATATTAGTGTGATGGAATCATTATTTTAATTTACATAAATGTTAAAATTAATAATATTAATACTTTGTATAGCTCATTGGTGTGCATGTGTATGGAATTTATTTATTGATGGAGAAGATTCAAATTGGGCTGCTAAATATTAAATTAAAAATGAAGATTGGACAGTTAAATATATGACATCTATTTATTATAGTATGACAACTATGATAACTGTTGGATATGGTGATGTTCATGCTTATTCTTATTAAGAGATGATATATGCAATATTTTTAATGTTATTAGCATCTGCAGTATTTGGTTATACAACTAATATTGTTATGGAATTATTTAGTAATTAATATGATAAATTTATTGAAAAAGAATAGAATATTAAAAGTTATTTAAAAAGAAAAAAAATAGATGTCTCATTAACATCTAGAGTAACTAGTTATTTAGAATGGTTATAATTTTCATATGCTAAATCTTAATAACATGAATCAACTGTTATTGATAGTCTATCAGCCAATCTAAAAAGTGAAGTCATTTGTTTAATTAATAGTAAAATCATTGAAAAAATACCATTTTTTGAAACATTCTCTAAAGATTTATTAAGCAATATTGCATATAGATTATAAGAGAAAGTATTTGGACCAGAAGAAATTATATTTGAATAAGGATCATTAGGAGATGAAATGTATTGTATTGTAAATGGTTCAATTTAAGTTAAATATTTCTAAACTAGAATTGCTAATCTAGGTAAAGATGAAATATTTGGAGAAATATGTTTATTCTCAGAATAAACTAGAAGTGCAACTATTATAACAGAAGATTTTGTTAATTTATTGGTTTTAAAAAAAGAACCATTTCTTATGATAATTAAATAATTATAGAATGATTTAGAAAAATATCATTAAATTAAATACTATCTTGAAATTGAATAAGATTATTCTGTTCTTGATATTAGATGTTATATTTGTTAGGAATTTCATTTAGCTTTGAATTGTCCAATGGCACATCTTATTATAGATAAATAAATTCTATTTCTTTAACCACATAAATAATTATGTCCAAAACCTAGATTTAAAATTAAACATAAACATTCATATAAATATTTAAGAGATTAAACACATTTAAGAGCATTAAAGAAATTACATTAAAAATTAATGAAATTACATTTATTAGGTAGATAAAGTATGATACTAAAATCTTAATAATAAAAAATAGATAATAATTTTATGGATTCAGAACATTTTGATATTGATTAAGTCAAATAATTTGAATTTTATGTTACAAAAGGAAATGTAGATGATATTATATTAAGTATTAATCTTAATGCAGATATTAAATTGAAATAGATATAATAAGAAAAAGAAAGTAGAGTATAATAAAAAAAGATGTAATTATCTCGAGTAAGAAAAGCTATCTTACACAATCCATTTCTTGATGTAATCAAAAAGAAAAATGATCCATCAACAATATTTTCATTATAAGTTCCATAATAATAATAATAGATATAATAAATATGTTCTCCATCTCCCCTTTAAACAAAGAGAAATAGAATGAATTAAGTTAAAAATATGAGACAACATTCTTAATCTTAATTAATGAAAGCATAATCAAGATAAGATAAAAAATATCATAATAGTCAATTTAAATATAAAGAAAATAATGATGAAGCTGAAATTGAATTTGAAGAAAGTATATAAAAAATAAGATCTATCAAAATTAATAATTTCCCTTAAGAACCATATATTAAACCTAAAAGAACTTCATCATTTAAATAAAGAAAAACAAGAAAATTAAGTTTATAAGAAAAGAGAATATTAACAATTATTAAATAAGCAGAATTGGGTTTAAAAAATTGTGTGATGAATTATGTTTGAATAATATTAATTTCAATTATTTTATATCTTTATAAAAAATTATAATTATATAATTTATTTTTAAATAATATAAAGTGTTAAAAGATTGAATTTCGAATAATATATTATATTTCATATTATAATAATTTAATATGAATAAATAAATACAAATAATTATCATATTTAGTATAGATTGATATATCAAATGGTTTGAGAATAGTTATAAAAGAATGAATTTCAAAATTTTATAATTAATTTCAAATAGTATGCAATAAAATTTAATAAATTATAGGAAAAGAATAACTGAAATAGTTTCACCTGCTTTCTTTAGAGAACGAAAGATTTCAGAAGTAGTTGAATTATAACCACTTATTCTCAATAATCGAATAAAATCTCTTCATCTACCAGAAGCATAATTATTTTTGGATAATTCTATTGAATTAGATTTTAGTGGTTTTAAAACAGCATAAGTTAATCTTTTCAATAATATTACTGTTTTTTAATCACCTGGATAATTTGATGGTGGATAAATAATGAAGAGATCTATAATTTTATCAAGAAATTCTTCACCAAAAAATAGGAAGTTATAAAGAAGAGGTACACTTTTTTTGATTGATGAAAATGAATAAAAGAAATATGAATAATGGGTTGGTAAATTAAGAAAGAGAACAACAGATTATTATATCAACATTATTTTGAATCATTATATTGAATTATTAGCTTCAATGTAAATGAAACATTATAGTCATTTAATTGATATTTATTGTGATATAGGAGAATAATTATTATAAAGTCCAATTACTTTGATTAGATTTACGTTAGTTATTGGATCATACTTTTTAGAAATGAAAGATTATAATAAAAGTAGTTTCTTATCTAAATAGTTATTTATTATAAGCAAAATGTTGTCTCTATATAAAGAGAGAGCTAGAATTATGTTATTTATATCTAAAATATGTTAATAAGGATAATAATATGAATAATCATTATAAATATTAGAAGATGGATTAGTTTATAGTTGGTTGAGTGATGGATAAGAAGAAGAAGCATAAATATATGAATAAATGGGAATTTCATTGTTTTATATGTAATAATAAAAGAAAGCTAGAATATTTCATTTTAAATATGTAAATGGACATTTAGAACCTCATAATTCATAATTAAGAATATCTATCATAAAATAATTATAATTATCAGAGAGATTGTTATAAGAAAAAGGAGAAAAATAAGAATCAATGAATGAAGTTGTTATGAATAGATTACAATTTCCATTTTTAAAAAGAGAGAAAAATAAAGTAATTAAGAAAATGGATATATCATAATTTGAGGAAAATATTAAATAAGTTATTAGTGAATAAAGTTAAGTAATAAAATATGAAAGTATCTTATTAAGAGATAGTTAAATACAATAACCTAAAATGAAATTGAGAGATTTAGGTACAATTACACAGAAATATTTGGAAATGAAGAGAAAGAATATTAGATTATAATGGAAATAGAGAGAAAGAGTTAGTAATTTAACTTTAGATAAGAATATCAATGAATATATTACATAGAGAAATAAATAGATTATAGATTGTTAAATACTATTTAAAAGAATACATGACAATATTGCACATAAAAAAGATAAAGAATTAGAGCCGATTCTAATTAATTAGAGTTAAAAGAAACCATTGATTTTGTATATAAGAAAAGTATTTGAATAATAATTATTTGATTGATGAATGTCTTAGAATAAATAGAAGTGACAATCAAGACATATTGTTACGCAATAATGAAGGAAACAATGTCTTAATTCATCTGTTCTGGACTTGTCTATAAATTATTTGTCTTTGTTGAATTGATGCAAAATGTATATTATTTATTATAACTAGATCTATTTTGTTATGCATCCCATTTTGTAATTTGAATTAGATATAGTCTTTGTTCAATATTTTAGATAAGTGATTCAATATTCTTAATTGACCTACATTTTAGATGCAATGGATTAAAATTAATCTATAATCTTATTATACACAGCATTTGGTATATAAATCACTCTGCTCTTTTTAATAGGACTAGGTGTGAACTTTGTCAAATAAAAAGTATATAACAAATTATAAAATAGAAAAAAATAACAACAATCACTTCATACTCATTCAAAGCTATTAGTTTTTATGCATTAATTCTCAATACATTTTTGCATGTTTGTTTTATAAACATTTTCTTAGTATTTCTGATTTGTTACCCAAATTCCTAATATAGTTAAGATGTAGAATGTTATTCAGGTTTATATATACTTCATACAGTAATGGCAGCTTTAGGTTTATTTTTATACTTTATAATTCAATATTATTTTTCAACTTTTTATATTGATTTAAAGTAAATGATATTATATTATATAATAGACCTTTCTCAGATGTACCTTTTGCATAACCATAGAGTAGATATGATTATATGAAGATCTTATTTAAATGTGCAATACTATTATTCATTACTATTGATTACAAAGCTGAAAATCCTTAAACTTATATAATATTTGTACTGATATTATATTTTATTTTACTAATGTTTAGAATTTATGAGCCATAACATTTTTAACTAGATATTTATAACTTTTTGATTGCTTGTGATGTCATTTAGTTTAGTTTGGCTTTTTCATATACACTTCACAAATTCTTAGATAATGGTGCACCTGATACAGTTGGATTCTATTTTATATTGGCATCAATTCCATTTATTTATTATTGTGCTATCTAAATTGGACATAAGAAGAATCATTTTTTTTAAGTTAAAGGAATAAAGAAATTAAGTGATCCAAATTAACATGAATAACTATTTAATTAACTAATATTTATTATTGATCGAAGAGATAATCTATAGAATTATTTATTATTGGAAGGGATATTAGTATAACATATGGAAACATGTCAAAATTCAAATTGTTAATGTTAATATTTAAGTGAATCTAAATCAAAAGAATTAGATGATTTAATATGGTACAAATTTATAATTTAAATGATTGATTTATCAATTACTAAATTCCCTAAAAGTTGTAAATTACATTTGTTGTAATCATATATTTATAATAATAAATTAAATAACAAATTTAAATGTTATTATTCACTATAACATATTAAATCATTAGAAACTACATTAAAAGAAGAATTTCAATCTTATAGAGATTTACATACACTTGAAGAAATAATGTAAGAAGAAGATTAAAAAGCTGAAATTATTATTGATGTTCTTTAAGTTGTTAAGTTTCAGAAATATTTTGGATAATTTTAAAATCTATTAGAAGAATCTGTTAAAAGACATTATGAATTTTGGTGTGAATTATAAGAAAATAATCCAGATATTTAAAAATTATTTACTTTAGGTAGTCAAATCACTTAATCAGTTGAAGATGTAAAAGAATTGTATGATAAGCTTATTGAAATTAATCCTAATCATATTAATACTTTGAGAATCTTTGGTCAATTTTAAAATGAAGTTATTAATGCAGACAATTTGGGTTTAAGAATTTTGGAAAAAGCAACTCAAATAGAAAATGCATAATTAGCATATTCAAATGAAACATAAACTGAAAAATATGGTGAAAATAGTAATACATGTATTATGACATGTTCAGCTGAGACTAAATCTCTAGGTTTAATATAGAGTTGTAACAAAGAAATTGAAAAATTAGGATATCATAAATATGAATTGATAAATTAATTTATAACTCGTTTGATGCCTAAATGTTATGCGGAAAACCATGATAAATTTATGTCGAAGTATTTAGAAACAAATGAAAGTAAAATTGTGGGTAAAGAGAGAACAGTATATTGTCAACATAAAAATGGTTCTATTGTTCCATGCTTATTGATGTTTAAAATTCTACCATAATTGAAAAAAGGATTAAGAATGGTGAGTTTCTTTAAAGTATTGGAAAACTATGATTCCCATTATTATATCTTATTTAATCCAACAACATTTTTGATATATGGTTTGAGTCAGAATTGCTAAGATTCGTTTGGTATACCAGCCAATTTTTCATATGGTAACAATGCTCATTCTAATGATTTTACAATGGAAATATTGATTCTCGATTTTAATCACTTGGTAGAGAAATTGAAGATTTCATAAGAAAATATTTAAACTGCATTTCCACTATAATTGGATACAACAAAATTATAAAAATAATTTATTATGGAAGATTCAGTAGATAGATTATCTTTAATGGAAGAAGGTGAAATAAATAATAATAATAATTTATTAAATTAGAATGGAACATCAGAATAATTGAAATCTTCAGTTAAAAAGGAATCCTTATTCAAAATCTACAAAATTAGTTGTACAGTTGAGAAATAATAATACACTGATTTAGAAGTAGCTATTTTAAAATTTACAGAAGCGACAGCATTTTAAGAAGCATCAAAAAGTGGGAATTATTATTAGAGTGAAATAAAATTGAAATCAAAATAAACTAAATACTCTTCTTCTGCTACAAAAAAAAAGGCTGATTAATAAATTAATGAAGATTATTTGAATGAGGATAGATCATCAGTTAATTCAGTTTAATCTAGTTTGAATGATGATATGCGTAGATTAAAAGATTTTAAAGCTTTAATGAGTGAAAAGAAAGTGCCTAGAAATATTAGAACAATTTAAATAACTATGTTATCTTTAACATTAATTTTATTGACTGTTTCGATTGTTGACTTGGTATTAAAGGGTATATAAAATACTTCATTTAAATATTCTTCTTAGATATTATCAGATGTTTATTGGAGAACCAATTAAATGTCTACAATTACCTTTCATTCTAGAATATTGGAAATGCTAGGCAAAGGAGAATATAATAATAGTGATGGATTTACAGCTTAATCTTTGAGATATGATGTAAGTATTATAAAATAATAATAGTTATTAAGCAGATTGAAAATTGTATAATAATTGTAATTTGATACTTTGAAAGTAAAGAATGATTTATTGAAATAAAATGTAGAAGTACCAATTTAATACAATTACAATTTTACATCTCTTTTGATTGATAATTCATTTTAGGAAACTGAATTAACATTGACAGATTCAATAAGAGAAGCACTTAGTCATTTAGTAATATTGATTGGAACTGATTTACAAAATTTTAAGATTGGTGATTATATTACTCCAGCACAATAATCATTCTTTTTCATTAATTATAATGGATTAAGAAATATAAGATTAGGATTAGAAGAAAGAGCAGAATAATTTTATACATTTTTTTAAGATTTAAGTTCTAAAAAATTTGGTACATTCTTAGCTTTGATGATTATTAGTATTATAATTCTAATTATAACTCATGCAATTGTAATACCAATTTTATTAAAAGTGGATAGAGCAAATAATAAGGTATTGAGTATGTTTGGATTAGTAATATATTTATTTATTTATATAGATACCACCTATAGAGATAAAGGAGTTGTCAGATAAATGTGAGAAGTTCTTAAAAGAGTATATAGAAGATTTTAATGAGAAAAAGGAACTTGAAAATAGAATTAATAATAAAAATCAGGATGAAAACAAAAAATAATAATAACAAGATAAACATTATATTGAGATGAATAATGAAGAGCATATTGATGAGAAATAGAAAGAATAAATGGAAAAGGAAAAGGAATTATAGAGATTAGAGGATGAAGAAAAGGAAAGGTTGAGATTAGAAAAGATGGAAGAAGATAAAAGAAAGAAATAAGAAGAGGAAAATAAATAAAAAAGGTATTTGAGACATAAAAAGAAAAAGAAACATAAATATAATATTTAAGAAATAGAATTGACTGAAGATGAAAGAACACGTATAGAAAAATTAGAGAGATCTAATGAAAAGAATGATTCTTCAGCTCTTATCAAGTTTATGTTGTTTTTTATATTATTTACTGGTTTTTTTGTAGCCTAATTAGTTCTTGAAGTAACCTATTTAAATAGTATAACATTTTTATTTGAACATCTTAAATTATCTCATTAAAGATATTACATTATGATGTATAGAGTTGTATATGGAATAGAAGATATAATATAAGAGAAACAAATAAACATTGACAATGTTTGGATGCAACAATTATATCATACTCAAATTTATGATGCAGAGAGAGATGTATTTGAATCCTATAAATCAGTAATTATATTATTTAAATCATTTTAGTTTCCATTGACTGGTTTTGATACATATAAATAATACTATGATTGGTTCAACTTCAATGATATGTGTTCTAATATTACATTGATGTCATCTTTGGGTGTTACAATTACTGAATCTGGATGTCGCTAAGTTTAGAATGGTATCTTAGAAAAAGGATTGAGAACTTCAGTAATTAATCTAGCACTTTATACAAATGATTCTTTAAAGATAACTGGTAATAATACTAAATATACTATAATAAATGGAAATACCTTTTAAATTATAAATGACATTGTAAAATATATTAGACCTGCTTTTAATACCTTAAATGATGTTTACATAGCAGATTCACTTGAATATATTAATTATGCTCAAAACATTGAAGTTGTCAAATTTATTGTTTTGATAATAGCTTGGATTATCTTGTTTTTTATAATATGGATGCCATATTTAACTAAACTGAGTATTTAGATATGGATGACAAAAGGAATGTTAAATATGATACCTATGTCTATTATTTAAAAGAATGAAAAACTTAAGTACAGATTCTTATAAGATAATATAATGACTATGGTACAATGAATATTAATTTATCAATTAATTACTCTAGTTAATTATATTAAAAATAAAAATGATATTGTTCATCATAATTGCTTCATGGCTTCTATTCTTTATCTCTGTACTCTGTACAATCAACCATAGAAATGCCAATTATTACACAAGCACATGAGAATTAAATACTTCATCTAAAAATTAATGAAACTCATCCATTAAATATTGAATATATACATACATACATAACATATAAATTCATTCAATAGTAAATTCAGTTGAATTTTTATGATATTACTCTCTTACTAATTGATATTTTGCTTTTAGTTTGTAAAAGAATACACAAAATATAATCATTGTCATAAAAGTCATTGCTAATCCAATTGTTAATCCCACATATAGTCCTACATTCCCATTCTCAAATATTTCAAAATAAACGTTAATTTCCACCAACTAATTATGATATGCTTTTGTCTCATTAACAAAATACCCAGTCCTTAATTCCATCATATATGTGCCAGTCGAATAGTTTTGATTTGGTTCACATACCAATTAAGCTTACTATTGCTTTATTTCAAACTGAACTATCTCATTTTACTATTACACAATTAACTACCCTTAATCATATTTTAAAATCTTATTTGTGTTCTCTAATATATTCTTACTAAACAATTACTAAGTCTCTATCTTAGCAAACGCCAATTAAATCAAGTTCTCTTATAATATGATAATGTACTAAATATTAAAAATTATACATATACATTTTAAGTTGAAAATATTTAACGCACTTTTGTAGTTAAACTCAAATTTTATTTTAACTGACCACCTTCATATTCTAAAACATATTATAAATTTATTTTATTGTTCAATTTCTAAATTACATAAGTTAAATCCTCAAAAATTTCCACATCTATTATTCTGCCTTCCAAACGCATAAATGTATTAAACTAAATTGGCTGGAATTAAGCATCTAATTACACATAACCTAAACTTGATTCGGTGATCCAAATGAAATGATTTGGACTTTTTAATTTCACACCAATAATATTCTGATTCTAACCTTCAAATTTAGTTATATTTATAGATGATATTAATTCTACTAGCTTCTCTTAAATTATGTAAATTTCTAAAGTGTTGTTACCAAAAACATAGATTAAATTATCATAGTAAATTATCTAAGTAACAACCTCGATTGATGTATGCAATTTTATAGGCTTATTTATTTCATCATTTTCGTCAATATTTATTATGAATAAGCTAACTCCATCCAGAATTATTAATTTATTATCCTACTAAATATTTATTGTAATCAATATTTCAGGTAGGTTTTATGAGATCTATAACAATGTTTCACTAAAAAAAGTAAATCCCTATTCATCATTCATCTCTAATACTTTTAAATAACCTGGCAACAAACTATAAATCTAATCTTTATCATTAAATTTACTTTATTATTTTGAATAATTATTTTACATTAATCAGCACATACATTAATTGATTGAATATGATCTAAGTAAATTGATGGATTTTTAGGTTAACAGAAATCTGCAAACAACACAGATGGCTCCTCTCCTTCTTTTGTTTTATTTAAAGTTTTATTTAGATGATGTATTTCAACATTGAATACATCTTAAATTGGAATTTAAATAGTTGATACTCTTCCATGAATAATTGAATATCTCTTAATCTCTTATTTTTGAATTTATTCTGTATTTATTAGATTAAGTAAAAGAAATTAAATAAAAAACATTAAATAATATAATTTTAATCAAAAATACAACCAAATATTTCTATTATTATTATTTATTTTATGTAATCTAATACAATATTTCAATTTTAAGAATTCATATTCTATATTTATTTGTGAGTCAAGATTCATATGAAGACCAATAAATTAGGATTTTTTAAATATCAATATTTTATAAAGCAAAATTTATTAATTTTATCTACAATCTTGATCAAAACTATAATTCATTATTCACTAATCAATGATTATTACTAATCTAATATATATTCTGAATCAGATCTTAAATGAGTAAATCTTGAAAGTGAAAAAATGAGAACTAAATGAATATCTTTAAAAATTTGTAATATATTCTCAAAATTTTAATTAAAATTAATTTAAAGGTGGGATACAAAGACTGAAATATAAAGAACTTAAAATTTTATTTAGAGGATTTAGTTTTTTTATCATTTAAACGCATATTTATATAATATAGTATGATTATTAAAAAAGAGTTTCTCTTTCTTTTTTAAACCATTATCAAGATCCCATCATGATAGAACTAAAATTTCATCAAAATTTCCTTTATAAAAGTTCCCTTGATATTTTTAAACTTTTAGATTGAATTTTCAGTATTATCAATCAATTATGAAAAGATAAATTTTTAAATATGTATTTAAAATAATTGTCTTAAAAAAGAGTTCTCTAGTTTTTATTGATTCCTTTTATGTTTATTGGCTTTTTTGAAGGATTATAAATTATTTATAAGATATAATGAAATATTTATATTTTTTAATCTTATAAATTCACCATAACAGTTTCTTAAAAAGAGCCAATCCGCCTCCTATTATTACACCTACTCCAATAGCTGGTATCGCAAGAGTTGTAATTCCTGTCATTGCTACTCCTTAAGCTACAGCAAATGCACTTCCTGCTGCTACACTTCCAATGCTGGCTTATGTAGCTGCAGCAAGACTTCCTGCAACTGGCCCTATGGAAGACAAACCATAAAGTGCCAATCCACCCTTAACGATAACTGCACCTGCCCCTGCTGCAGCTCCCCCTATAGCAGTTCCGTCCTTAATATTTTAAAATAAATTAGATTGTTCTTCTTAATCTAATTATTGTTTTTGCTCTTATTATTCCTATTTCTGCTTTTGCAACTCTTATTATTAGTTTAAATTTTATTCTTCCTATTGTTCTTATTACTCTAACTATTCTTATTACTCTGATTACTCTTATTACTCTGATTATTCTTATTCTTATTTCTCTAATTATCCTTAAAACTCATTTGTTTATTATAACTGTTATATTTCTTACTACTCTGGTTAGACTTATTGTTCTGATTATTCTAAATTTTCCATATATTAATTAATGCTTATATTGTTAACTAGATTTTAAATTTTAAATATCAAATTGTACAAAATTTCAAACATTATAATTTATAATCAAAACCTAAATTGATTTAATTTGCAATTAAAGTTCAAGACCTGATTCTAGTATTTTTTGATATTAAATACTGTATCAATCCTAAAGATTAATAAATTAGGCTAAATCTCAAATGGAGGGATGGCTTATCAAAGTCAGCAAATCATAAAAAGTTGATAAACGAAATGCAAAGCAAAGCAAATAAAAATTTATATTAAACTTTTAAAAATGATTTATAATTGTAAAATCTTAGGGAAATATATGCATTTCAGAATTACCCACAACTTTTCAACTTAAGTTATTTATATTTAATGATAATTTTAATGTAAAATTTGAATAAATTATTTAAATCAATCTTGTAACTAAATTCTAAATCATTTAAGGTAATGAATCATATCAGGTTGAATTTTTAGATGTCTTAATAATTCCATGTAAAAAGTTGGATTAATTAAAAAAATTAAAATGCTAACAGAAGTCGATTTCTCTTATTTTTCTTTTCTATTAGATAATAATTTGTAGAAATTATAAACTTTATAAAAATTAGAATTTCATCATTTAAATCTTCATATTTCATTATAAAATATAATGAATAAAATATTATTATATATTATATTTTAGTTTTAGATATGTTAATCTTTCCAGAATAATATCATTAAATCTGTAAAGAAACAGTATAAAAATACAACTTTTTTTAATTAATTAAATTTTTTATTTTATCATCTACTTTTATATTGTTATTTATGAAATATTATGTAATAATTAACCAGTAACGAGATAAAATTATAATCAAGCCATATGTTTATGCTTGCTATTTAAAAATTTTTTGGTTTAGATTTTTAGGAGCACTCAATTTTTAGTTTAAGTAGATAATTGTATTACAGAGATTTTTGATTAATATCATAAAATCTTCTAAAATGAGGGATAGATGATATTATAGAATATGTTTATAAGTCAATTTTTGTTGATGTTAAAAATGAATTAATAATTCTTTTGCAAATTTAAATAAATATTGAAAATTATTTGGAGTCCATTAGATTATTATTTTTCTTTAATTTAGTTTTCTCAATTGTAATTATTCCCAATACCTATTTGTCCTTGTTTAAATAATTTGAATTTAATAATCTAAATTTATAATATTATTGATATTATCAGGTGACCATTTAAAGACTTATTTTCTTTAATTTAACATTTTCTTTTTAGTTTTCTTTTTATTAAATGCTATATCAACAGCGCAGTACAGAAAGTAAGGTTCAAGATTAAGATAATAGATCATAAATTTTCCTGAAAACTCAGATTTTTTAAATATAAATTAATTTGAAATTTGTATAAAAGATCTTAAGTTTTATCTTATATTTGTTTCTTTTGACCCATAGATTTAATTTCTAATCCTAAATACTCCTATTTATTTGAAAGGAAAAAAAGTTATAATTTTTCCATTCATTTAAATTTTATTGGACTTTTTAAAGTATTTACGACAAAAGTTCCATCATTTCGAAATTTTTCTAATTTTTACAGAAAACATTATTCATTATAAAATTAAACAAAGATTAAATTAGAAATTTAAGATTTATTTAATTTATAATAGCATGTATAAATTTAATAAATTAGTTTTATTTATTAAAATATCTAGCCAATATCAGTAATTATTTATAAAATA